TCTCTCTCTCCCTCTCTCTCTCTCTCTCTCTCTCTCTCTCTCTCTCTCTCTCTTTCTGTCTGTCTATCCGTCCAAAGCAAGGGACGAAGAAGAGCTACAGATCATTGTGGTTCTCTATATGTATGCTTACAGCAGCAGAGAGTGTTCCCATTGGTCACTTAATGCGTGTTTACCTGACGTCGGGCTCAACACTCCTGAGCGACTAAGGCTTTGAGTGAAGGTCGCCCTATATAAAGGGCAGCAGCTGCAGCATTTCTTCAGTCGCCCAGGCCTGGTGGGGGTCAATCGTGCAGTGCAGTAAAGTGACGTGAAGTGAAGTGCCTAATCATTCAGCTATGTATTGAAGATTTAGAAGTAATACCAGCGGAAATATTTAAAGGAGATAATACGGTAAAATACGAAGAGGAAATCCTAAAGGGAAAATCTAATAGGAAATACCGAAAGGAAGTGCTTAGGGATAAATAAAATAAAACTTAAAGGAAATACTCATAGACTTAGAAGAAATACTTATTACTAAAACTAACAGCAAATACTTATGTAAAAGGCATATATTTTTTACATAAATCATCACTTTATGGGAACCTAAGTAACATTTACAGCACTTACTGAACTCAACTCTAGAGCAACTCTTACTTATTCCATAGTTACTTCACTCTACTGAGAGTTAATTAAAGCTTAAAAATTCACATCTATGATCCTTTATTTTGTAGTTGACTCTAAAAATCAATATTATATGTACAGTTTACATTTGGTATAGTCTATATAGAATTTAGCTCTCTTATTGTCTTATTCCACAACGAGAGTCTGACACATTTATTCGAGCACAACATTTGCAAATTTCATTAGTCAACACTTAGGACACTGCACAACACTACAATTTTAGCATTTTTCAAGGTTAACGAACTTGTTTTGGGCTTTTTTAAATCTTTCTTGACCAACTCGCTTCGCATTCAAGTTGGGAGACAAAGTGCCTTCATTCACTCTCGCTCTCCGATTCAAAGTCAACAACAGCTTCATTCATTGACAACCACATTTTGTTGTTGTTAGATTATTGTTGCTGATTTGTTGTTGTTGATTTCAGTTAGGCTAAGCAGAAAATCAAACAGCGTGAAGTTTATTCACCCACGTTTCGCTAAAAATTACTACAAATATTTTTATAAAATATTAAAAAATAATAAAAATTGTTATTATGCGAAAATTGAAGTCCAGAAATTTTTACTGTGGGCGTTTGTTAAGCCACAAATCCGTTACATAAATAGTCAACCAATGACGAAGCAAAAACAGAAAGGTAAAAACTTTGGATAGTAAAGACTCCCACGTGGCCAGAAAAAATTATTTCTTTTTATTTTTGGAGAAAACATGACTCACATAATTCGAAAGGCCTTTTCAACAATTTTTTGTGTGCAAAACTTTAGGTTTTTAGTCACCATCTACAATTAGATTTGGAAATATGAAAAATTCAATTTACATTTTTATTATATTTTAGAAACAATAAACAATTTAGAGCATCTTGTAGAGGGCAGAGAAAAAAACATAAAACGTGTTAAAGAATTTATGGTATTTTGGACACATCAAATTTGCATACGCCTCTAAAAACTTGTTTCTAGTTTTTGTTGCAAATTATTGTTATTCTTTTTAGTTTTTTTTTTTTTTTTTTTTTTTTTTTTTTTTTTTTTTTTTTTTTTTTTTTTTTTAGAGGACGAAAATTATAATTTTGTTATATTGTCAACAACATATGTACACATTTTGCGCTTTTTACTTTCAATCAATGCTTCCTGATTAATATAAAATACAAAAATAATATCAATTTTAATTTATCATGTGGATTTGACTTGAGCACATGTAAGAAGTAACGTGTCAATAACAACAACCATAAATTGTAATCAATCAATATAAATAACTGACAAAAGCTTTAAAGTTCATTTCCTTTTCATGATGTTCACCTCTTCGCTCTTATCGTCTCTTCTCTTTCATTGCCAAACGGCTTGCGATTAATATTCGCTTAATTTGTTCTCCAGTTCATTTCCTTTATACGGTGCTTTCCTCTCCTCTCTCTTTCTTTCAATTTCTCTCTCTCTAACGAAAATGCCTTACGTTTCGTGTGCGGTTAATTTGTGCTTCGTCTTTATATCACGCTCTCTGCTTACTTACGACGAACAGCGCTTTAGCGGCTCATTTAAATCATGTGTAGCAAATTTTGAAGTCGACAACAAGAAATACAAAACAAAAAACAACAAAAACAGTACCGGCCAGCGCCTACGTCTGCGCCGCCCACTCAGCAGCTGTTCAAAGAGTTAAGCTAAGTGCTGCGAGAGAGCTTAAGTAAAAGAGAGAGAGAGCGCGCTAGCGCGCAATGTGTGGCTATTTAGTGTGTCATAATTTAAAAATACAAATAGACTTCTAACGGTAAAGATTTGACGCTCTGCATATGCATATGTATGTCTGTATATGCATAGTTATGTATATACATTTGTGATTATCATTATGATTAGCAGCATTTGACTCTCTTATTTGTAATTTGTCATTTGTCTCGACTCTCCCTTACACACAGACACATATACATACATATATATAATCAAACTCTTATTGATATTTCTATTTCACTTTATCTTCAATTTGATTCTGTTCAATCGTAAGCACTGTTTATATTTTATTGTCAATGTCGTGTTATGCACTGTTATTCAGTCTGAAATTGTTAAAAGTGTTCCGATTTTAACTAGATTCACACTTCTTATAAGAATCCAACCAATTGGCTTCTAGCATCTGCTTAAGCCCTTTTGCACATATTTTACGTGTAACCAAAACATTCAATATACAAATCTCTTCGCACACACATAAAGTGTATGCGTATAGGTGTATGTACATATATTCCAAAGAAACGCCAAGAATATTCAAAAATAATCAAACGAATGGCAGAAGCAAAAACTTGGTGAGAAAAAAATATACACAAAAATAACTGAATGTGCTAAAAATAAAACTTATTTAAAGAAATGAAACCATGAAATTTTCAAAAACACAGGCAAAACGATGGCTAGCAAAATAAAAATAATAAAAAGAAGAAATTTAAATTTTCCTATGCAAAGATAGAATTCTATTGAATGGGCCTTGAATACATCTAATTTGCAAATGATTTTTGGATTGGTTAGTTCGAATACCCGTTAAATTGACACGCTATCCATTAGTCCAATAAGAATATATGCAGGAGGCTCTTGAGCTGAACGAGGTGCAAACGCAACAAATGCGACAAAAAAATTCGCTCAAAAATTTCAAGCCATAAAAGCACTTTACAATGTATGAATAATACATACACACGAAACATACACATAAATACATACATATATATATGAATGGTAGTGTCTGTATGTGCCTTTATGCACATACATATGTATTTTTGTTATTTTACTCTGACCACATTTGGCAACACCAGCAGAACGTAGCACAGACTCACACACATACGACCGAACGCAAGAAACTCCAGCAGCAGCAACAAAAACAGCCAATCATGCTCTTTCACTCACTCACGCACTTGCATTAGCTATTGTGATTGATTGTAGCTATAAATTAACAATAATATCTTACAATTGGTAGTTGTTGGTTTCAAATTTGACAATTTTTGTTTTTATTTATTATTAGCGCGTTGATTTGGAAGACGGGGTGAGGTGTATTTTTACTGAAATGCGTAGACTGAGCGCCTGCAAAAACCGTTAAAGCGCAACAACGCCAACGACAACAAACGCGCGATCACCGACGACGACGACGCTTTGAGACACACTGAATCAGCCAATGTGTCCGTAACTGTTGAATATGCCCGTTGATCTTCGTTTCTGACGCATACGCGAGACTCTCACGGTGAGAACCAGAGAGCTAAAAGTGTGAAGAACAAAGAGAGCAACAGCCAAAAAAAGCGCACGTTTCTTGTGGGGGAGGAGAAGGCAATATTAGAACAGCAGACAACACACACAACGCACGCACATATACAAATTTGCCATTTACAAATGTATGCGTGGTTACATTTAAAAAAAAAGAAAAACGAAAATAACGTACACATATTATTGTATATGAATTGATCGGATTTGATGCGGCGCTCGATTATTCACATGCGTCATTTGTGTGCTTTAGCTTTTTCCCATAGGTAAGCGGTGAGCTTTTACGCCAGACAAGTTGAGGTAAGCTTTGCATTAAGATAATATGAAAGGTATAAACGACTTTTGAATACCCTCTTTGAATTAAGAATAAATACATATATACATATATAATTTTTTTTAAATTTATTTTTTTCAATACTAGTTGAGGTATTAATGATATTATTTTAAACGATAAAAGTATGAATAAACTCATTTGTTATTTTTCAGCTCAATAGATAAATACATTGGTTTCATATATATACACATAATTTGCGTATGCACAAGTCAGCTGTTTATAAGTTAAGTCATTTTGGCGATCAGCTGTTCTCTGCTTGCTCCTCCTTTACATCTGGCGGCAATTCTATGTTGACCGCAGCCAAAGCCTCTCGAATCCAACTGGGGATCGGTTCGCTGCCGAAATGACGCGACATGAAATCTTTTACGAATTGTGGAAAGGCATCCGCTTGCACCGCTTCCCGCATAGAACGCATCAGACGAAGCTGATAGGCCACATTGTGAACGCTAAGAAGCGAGCACGAGACGCTCTCATTAGTAGCTATGTGATGCAGGTAGGAGCGGGTATACGTTTTGCAGGTACTGCAATTGCATTGCTTGTCAATCGGTTCCATATCGTGCTTATACTTCTGTTGCTTCAGATTCATCTGTCCACTGTCCACTAGGGCACAACCAAAGCGAGCAGTTCGCGTGGGAAAGACGCAATCGAACATATCGATGCCCAGCGCAACACAAACGACCAGGTCCGCGGCAAAGCCCACGCCCATCAGATAGCGGGGCTTATCTTTGGGCAAATGATCCGTGCATACGTGTACCATGCGCCAAAAGTCGTGCTTGCTCTCGCCACCACTCAAACCGCCAACCGCAAAGCCGCGCACTTGCCTCTCCATCAGCGCTGAGACACAGCGCTCTCTCAGAGGAATCTCCAATCCTCCCTGCACAATCGGAAACAGGGATTGTTCGTCATCGCGTGTGTGTGCCTTAATACAGCGATCCACCCAGCGTATGGTGCGCTCCATTGCCTCCTCAACTCTCGGCCCCGTTGTTGTCGTCTTCACCACATCATCCAACTGCATCATTATATCCGCTCCAATTGCATTTTGGATTTGCATCGAATGCTCGGGCGTTAGCATACATTCGCTATTATCGAAGGGCGAACGAAAGTTAACGCCATTCTCATCGATCTCCGCCAGCTGCAGCAGCGAGACCATCTGAAAGCCGCCAGAGTCTGTCAGGATTGCCCTGGGCCAGGACATAAATTTGTGGAGTCCACCAGCCTTTTGCAATGTTTCAATTCCAGGCCGAAGGCCCAAATGATAAGTGTTTCCAAGCAATATTTGGCAGTCCAGTTCGATTAGCTGATCTGGCAGTATACCCTTCATGGTGCCCTGGGTGCCCACAGGCATAAATACAGGTGTACGTACTTCGCTGTGCCTGCAACGAATTCGCTTAAATAATCACTCAAATCAGCCTGGAATAACACATTTACCTCAGTGTCATTAGACCTGCACGCGCTTTTGAGACGGAGCATTCGGCGACAACCTTGTAGGTCAAAGGAGGTAGCTTGCTAGAACTCATTTGCCACAGTTTCCTTTTATTTATCCTTACAATTACCAAGAAATGTTAATAAAAACACGTGTCGCACAAAATGTAAACAAAATTTACCGCAGAAAGTGTGACCGCATTTTGCAAACAACAAAATATCAATTTAAGCCACAAAATACTTGCACAAGAAATGCCAACGGTTATTTATCGATTCATTTCGAATTAAACAATTTATTTAATTTTTCATATGTGTATATATATTTATTATATACAATCATTAAGCTAGAATTATTTCAGCTAAGTAATGTGACTGGTAGATGAAAATATTTAAATTTGTGAAATTTGAGGTAACTGAAATACAGACATATCAAACTTAAGTTGTTAATAATTCATTGAGTTTAAGCATTCTCATAGCGAGACTTCATCATTTTCTTAATATAAGTTTTGTAATCGTCGCCAGGTGCCAAAGTGCCGCTCTTATTACCAAGACCGACATTATTCGAACGAGCCTCCGCCTGATGAATAGAAATGACCAATTTTAATACATTGAACAAATTTAGTTGGGATTGCAAAATACCTCTATGATCTGCGTGCGTCCCTGATTCTTACGTCCCAGTCCTTGACCTTCCGACCAACCCATTTTCTGGAGCAAGCGATTTCCCACGTTGTTTGAGCTAATGGGCATGGCAGGTGCTGCTCCAGAATCCTTTTGACGCGTCTGTAAATTCTCGATCTCATGCTCGAACCGTTCGCGACTGCGATTTGGTGGCGGAGGATCACCCTCGCCGTATTTTAAACGTCGCTCCTTGGCGCGATCACGATAGCTATTACGATATATATAAATATAAATGCGAGATACGATAAGCGATAGACAATATCTACACTTACGATAGGCCCGCGGTCGCTGCATCCTCGCTGCTGGCGCCAGCAGCGCTGCCCGCATTTAATTTAGCCAAATTCTCCTTATGCAAATTGGACATTTTTAAATGCTTCTGCAGTATGTCGTGAGATTGGAAGGCACGCTTGCACAGCAGACAGGTGAGTTTCTGGAAGTCAACATAGTCCATTTCATCGACAGGGCCAGCAGCCTGTGCACCAGCGCTTGCACCTCCATTATCCTCATCCGAATCGGAGCCACCTCCATAGGCATTTACTAGCTTGTTAATTGGCGGAGCAGCTGGTACATAATCGCTCAGCTTACCACGCTCCTTCTTTTCCAATATGGAGAAGCCTACGTCTGCATAGGCGCCAGTTGCGGCGCGTGAAGTGCTCGGCCCCTCGCCAGGATCGCCGCGTCCTGGCAGTATGGGCTGCGGTGTAGCCACCACCGTGTAGTCTTTTTTCTGATTCAATTGCTTCGCCCACTTCTCCATGTCTTTCACAATCTTCTTGGCCACCTTGACTTTGTCGTGCTTATTGTTGTCTTTGTCTTTACTTTTATCCTTCTTGCTCGACTCCTCGTCCTTGTCGGCCTGTGTGGCTTCCTGCGCTAGCGACTCCTGCAGCGCAGCCTGTGTGGAGGCTGGCGTGGCTAGTATATAAGTGCTGCGTCTTTGATCCCAATACAAATAGGCGCCCGTCTCATTGTTGTAATAGTATTGCGAATGGGCATCGTAATAGAGGCCCGTGCTGGGATCGTAGTAGTAGCCAGACGTCTCATCGTACTGGTACCGCGAGACATCGGGCGTCGCTATAGAGAGGGATAGATATAGATGCGGATAACTGAATTCGTCGAGGAACAGCTAATCAAATGTGAAACGTATGGGAGCCCGCTTCATATCTGATTAGCCGATATATATAGATAATCAAATTGATCCACTCACGATACGTTTTGCCATCATTCCCTCGAGGCGCAATCACATTCTGGGCCGCAAAGGTTGCTTTTACGGCAGCAGCTGCCTGAGCGGCCGCCGTGGCCGCCGCTGTGGCCGTCGTCTCAATACTGTTCATCTTTTTCTGCTTGCGCTGTATGGCAGAGAGAGCAACCGCAGCGCCTGAATTAGCCTCCGTCAACTGGGTCTCGCCGCCGCCGCCGCCGAACTGTCCGCCGCCCTTCTTAATTTCAGCCACATAGTAATCCGTATAATACTGCACATAATGCGCATGTTCCGCCGGCGTAGAGGCATACAGCGAGGCACTATACTCGGCAAGGCGTGGCACATCGGCTAAGGTATAAACACCGCCAGCATCGGTAGGCGGCATAGCGTCCAAGGCGGCACCTTGAAGGGCGCCGACCTGATTGCTAGCTCCTTGCACATCCTTTGGCTGACGATTCTCTGCATCCATGCAGTAACTGATGCATACTACAAATAAGAGTTTCGATTAAGCAAGTATTGATTGCAATTGATTGCCGTTAGTCACGCACCATCACGATCATCGATACGCAGCGGCGGCTCCAGCGATGACAGCGCATTGTGCACCTCCATTGAATCAACCAGAGTCTCAAAATGTAAGTAACAAATGCCACGCGAAGTCTGAGTCAGCGTATCGCGGCTGATGAGCACCTTGCTGATTGTTTTGGCCTGCTTCGGCAGCACCTTCTGCAACGCAGTTAGCACGCTCTCCTCGTTGGTCAGCGCGTCTAGATTCCGCAGCATGATCTCTGCATTTAAATGAGGTGACGTTATTATTGATTAAAATTATAATATAATTTCCTTCCATACTTTTGGTTAGAATTGGGCTAACTTCATCGATGCCTTCGCCGCCGCCAGAGAAAATGCTTTCGCTTTCCGCTCGCGATGCCATGCAGCGGAAACAGGAGAAGCGCCGCTTGAAATTGAAGACGCCACACTGAAAGATTTACGGAGTTTTATTTATATAGTTTCAGACTTGACTTCTTTAGCTTCTCTCTCACCTTAACGCAATGCCAATCGGTGATCCGCTTGTGACTGTATTGCAGCGAGACGCGTTGATCGCCCAGCTCCAGGGTGCCCTGAATGAGACAGGAAGAGACAAGAGAGAAAAGGACGACGATTAGTGACTTGATCTTTGGAATGTTGCACACAGAGTACACAGTCACCAGGTTGCTTCTGTGTCTTAAAACGCGCGCCCGCTGTTTGTTGTTGTTCATTGCAGTAGCTGTTGTTGTTGTTGTTGCTGAAGTTGCTGTTGCTGATTTTGTTGATTCTGTTGTCCAGCGTATGCACAATAAATTGAAATGTTTGCGATAAGTTCAGTTGCTGCCCAGAAGGTACAACTTCTCTTAGAGAATCTCTCTGTCTCTCTCTTTCTGTCTTTTATAGGGAAAATAAATAAATGAAAGCAAAAACAGAGACAAACCGGAATTCCGCAAAAAAAAAATGATTCTGGTCTAGGGGAAATGGATTATATATACTACTATATAATACAATGCGAATTAGCATTTGGGGGTTTCAATTAGTTGTTGTTCTTGTTGGCTTTTGTTGAACTGAACTTAAGGCATATATTTCACTGTTATTGTCGAGTTTTTCGATTTTTTTAGATCTTTGATTTTTTATTTTTATTTTTATTTTGTTTTGCTAGTTGGTTTCTTGTTGTTGTGATACCTGGGTTATATCCATCCAACGTTTTGCTTCCTCAACGGTATTAAACTCGACAAATGCGAAACCGCGTGATGCACCTAAATTTTAGATAGAAGCAGATACAAAATTTTTTTGTCAAAATATGTTCTTTGTTTTTTAATATTTGTTGTAACATTTTTGGTTTTTTTTTTTTTTTTTTTGGAGGATATGTTTTTGTTGTCTTTTTTCTCTTTTTTTATGAGGCCAAGTATGGTTTTTAATCAATTTAGCTGCTGGATGTGAACTTCTGCCGAGTTAACACAGTTTATATATTACTTACGCATCGTGTGTATATTTACTATATACCTTACTATTTATTATAAACCTAACTCTTAAGGTAATTGTGTGCGTGTTTGTAACCCACCTGTAGGTCGCTTGCGTATCAGTCGTATGGAAGAGGGCTCCATGTTCACTTGTATCAACGCGCTCATAATCTGTGGGATATGAGAGAATATTATAAATATTGTGGATAACATATTATATACAATAGTGGGGAACACGAAAGAGATGGATTCAATGTTCTATATTCTAAATGTCGACAGACAAGCGGACAGACGGACATGCTCAGCTCGTTATCAGGATCAAGAGATCAAATGAGATTAATCTAAAAAATGTAAATATTAAATGTATCCGGCCGATATTCAGCTCGATTTATAAATGAGTCTCTATTGATTCCGTCAAGTCCACATTCAATAATTATCCGGTTCCCTGCTCAATTACTTACGTCCGCCTCGGTGATGTGTTTTTTCAAATCAAATATGATTATTTGATGCAGTGCCTCGTTGCTGGTGCGGATGTGATTGCGACGATATTGGCTATCGTCGCTTTCATCGCTGTCATAGCTGTCCTCATCGGAGGCGTAACGCCTGTCACGATCACGACTGCCGCCTTTAGCCACGGTGCTATTGCCATTGTTGTTGCCATTGTTATGCGAGCGATAGTCGCGACTAAAGCAAGAGAAAGCAGAGAGAGAGAGCGAGAGGGGAGACAGCTTCTGTTAGTAATTTTGCAAGTGTAACAAATAGGCTAGTTTACCTGCGCTCTACGCCCCGCTCATATTCTGAATTGCGCTCACGGGGCTCCCGATCGTAGCTTTTCCAGCGCTGTTCGCGATCTCGTTCACGTTCGCGATCCCTGTCCCGATCCCGATCCCGATCTCGATCTCGATCTCGCTCCCGTTCCCGGTCGCGTTCACGTTCACTGTCATAGTTATCGACCTCACGACGATTGTGATAATTGTTTCTTGCATTGTTATAGTTGCTGTTGCTATTGGTGTTGTTGTAGCTATTGCTGCTGCTGGCGCGGTCCTCGTTGTAGTCCTCGTTGATTAAATCGCGATACAGATCCTTGTCGGCGCTGCCCGTGTTGCGATAATGTTGCGAACGTTCGCGACTGCGTGAACGCGAATTGCGACGTCTGTAGCCCGGCTGATCCCTGCTGCGATCACTACATCAGGCACAACAAAAATAAATGAGCAAATCTAATTCTATTTTTAACGCCATGCAGATGGGAAGACGTATGCTTACCGGGATCGCGAACGGGAGCGACTGTAGCGCCTGTATTGATTGTTGCTGCTGTTGTTAACCCCACCCCCACCGCCGCTTCCTGCGCTGTTGCCTCCTGAAAAGCTGCGTCCATAGCGCGAATGCGAGTCCATTTTACGCCTACCTGAGGCTAAAGTTGATTTTAAATCGAAATAAAGGTGCACTGCGTGGACGTAGCTCTAGCTACCAAAAATTACCACGTAACTCGCTCATTTAGCGTATCGCAATAAATTAATGTAATTATGAAGCGTTACGATTCTACCTTTACAATAGAGCACACGCACAATAAAAAAATGATGGAAAAAATCTCAGCCTGCTCTTGTCATTCACAACGAGATGCCTACTACTATGTTATCGATTGTAACTGGAACGATTGTCGCTGGCTCCTGAATGCCGAAGAAGAAGCACTCAACATTTTCCGCCTTCATTTAAACTGTTTCGATAATATTTTAGGCCCAGTTCAATTTATTTTAAAATATTGTGTAATATGTGGCTATTATTTAAAATACTTTAAAATATGGCCATCGATAGAATTATAAACATGTATGGTCAGTGCTGTAAAGCGCCAAAAGCGAAACGATAAGTACCAAGCAACACTGTCATGCACTCGATCGGGATTATTTGGTGCAAGCGTGTTGGGGAAAAACCAACTTTTTTATATTTTCTGAGAAGGAAATCAAGACATCCCCCGAGGTAGACTACATACACCGCAGTATACAGCAAAACGTCAGCAATGAAGAAAGTGTTATTAACGAAATCACAGCACAAATTTGTGACAACAGATGTTATAAAGAAACCACAAAACCTTGCCACAACAGCGACAACTACAATGAATTTGGCGAATGTGCGTGTAATGCATGTGCAATCGGATATAATAACCGATACGTATATGCAACGGAAATCGTTTCAGTCCATCTACGAAGAAATTTTCAAGTTGCTAATGCGTCTACCCGATAAGGCGTTGCAACAACGTGTAATCGACGCTATCAACGGGCGAAGTGATAAGTCCTCTATCTTAAACCCAAATCAGTGTAAACAGTGCTCCATAAATGAACAACAAAAAGCAATTACCCTAAAAGTGAATGCGTCAACACAAACAGAAACATTAGAGACTAAAGAGACTAACTGTAGTAAAGCGAATTTAAATGAGTGTGCGAAACAAAAAGAACCCGTGAAACCAGTTAAAAACGAGCCCGACCCCCCGAAAACACAGTTAACAACATCTGCAAAAGTGCCACGAAAACGTGGCCGAAAACGTAACACATGTGTGCCACAGGTGGTCAAAAGATCAGCCGCCCAAATGGCGCTACAGGAGCGCGAGGAGAAGCAATTGACACCTCTCCCGGTGCCCAAAAAGCAGAAACTGGAGACAATCGTAAGCGAGAATCGTGGTAATCATACACCCATTACTAATCCAATAATTTGTTTGTCTTAGGCGCCCTCCCAGTCGGAGAGTCCACCCAAGGGACAGATCCAACGTCGAGACTCCTTCATTTCCAATTTATCTGACGATCTAAATAATGTTAATATAATGGACCTCGCCAATGGTTGGGACAATTATATTAACAATGATATTCAAAACACGATCTATACAACCATGGAAAATGAATACCGAAAAGCGGATATCCTATCCGTCGAAGGTTTGCTGTAAGTCTTGCCTTAGATCTATATATTTATATAAATACATACATGTATTTGCATATTATAATTTACCTTTGACTTCTCTTTCAGACCTATTCACGATGCTATTTTAGTAGACGACGTTCAAGGTGTTCAACGACAAGCCTATGTCTGGTCCAAGTTGAAGGGCGACGTTGACTTCAATGAACTAGTAAGTGCGGATGGTGAGGATTGCTTGCAGCTGGCTCTGACCAACGATTGCGATTCGGAGATTGTGAAGGTGATATTGACCGCAGGCGTGTTACCCAATCATATCTATGAGGACTCCAACACTGCGCTTCACCTTGCCATCATCAATAATGTCCAGTTAGAGTCACTGCGTCAACTAATGCTGCGAATCGATCTTAATCTGCTCCTGAAAACGAACGACGATGGCTACACAGCTCTACATATCGCCGTGCGTCATAATCGCTATAAAATGGCTGAGGTGATATGCGATACAATCGATCAAAGAGAACTGGGCGAATCTGTCTATAAGCGGACGTCGACTGAGAAGGAAGAGAGATCGATAGATAATAATAGTAAGGGAATGGATGCCAAGGATGAGAAGCAATTTGCCAAGTTCTATGAGCATGCTTGCGATCGATTGGACAGTAATAAAGATAAATTGCTCAGACGTGCGCTAAAGCACGAGATACTTAATGCCTCGGAGGCACGTGCGGGAAATGTAAGCCTCTTCTATGCGATTGAGGGAGAGCTGGAGCATTTCTGTTACTTCTTACTCGCGCATCTAACAAATCCCGATGAGGAGAACCTGAGCGGACACAGTCCTAAATCGTATCATTATGAATTTGCTCGAGTGCTGCGCATTAATCTAAAAATATCACGTGTTATGGACAAAGTGGTTGGCATTCTGAATGGGACATCAAGAAATATTTAAGTATACATAAGTAGTAGTTAATAAAACTAAGTTTGTTTTTCCCTTAATTTATTCCTCTGTGCTCTTTCTATCTATATATATTTGTATTTGTATGTGTACTTGATATACTTTCCAGCACTGTTCCGTCTGATAGAAGTCTTTCATGCTACAATTTTGTATTTTGTTTATTTTAGCCCCAACTTAAATCCCAATTTGTTTGCTCCAGCTTATTCATGTTAATTGGTTGCAGCGAGGGTGGCAAATCACATTTTCTGGTTAGTTTGGGATTTCTCTTTTTCTTTGAACGCTTTTTCTTCAGTTGACGCACTGCAAACAGTTCGTAAATAAGTTAAAAATAAAAAATTTTCTTGGAATTTTATGATGTACCTATTTTTTCGAGCTGTTTCATTTGCTTATCGCTATAGTGCCGGAAATTACAAAACAGCTGAAATCTACAGTAGCCGGCCAGGAAACGTTTGCATGGCTTTTTTGTGCGCTCTACAGCCAAAATTTTTTTGGGATCTAAAAAAATAGAGTTTTATAAATATTTGTTGTTCAGTTAAATATCCAAGTACCTTCAAATCGACGCATATAGGTTGCCTTGGCAGCCGTATGTGAAATGCCTGCATTGTGTAATTTACGCACGTTTAGATCATTTTTCATAAAGCAACAACAGTAATCACAATAATAGCTTTTTCCACCCATTTAGTAATTTACAAACTAGTTTCGTTTGTTTACAAACAGCTGTTTGTGCGGTGTAGCGCTGCCAGCCTGCTAGAGATGTGATTCTATGCTACAGTGTTTTCCAGCACTGGTCATCAGCACTAATTAATAACAACAGCGAAAATGCTGAAAAATATTTATTTAAATTAATTTTAAGACTCATAAGTATTAGGCCAAAAGTAATAAATAGCACAAATATGTTTCTACCTGAAACAGCTGTGTTCTGCATCACGTTGCTTATATATGGCGGTATACTTCTCCTATTAATTTACTATGTAAGTAGCAGGTGCGAAAACGAGATTCAGAAAAACAAAATTGTAATATTTCAATTTGAGCAGGTGCTGACGCTAGCTGACTTGGAGTGCGACTATTTAAATGCACAGGAATGCTGTCGCCGTCTCAACTTTTGGGTCATTCCCAAATTTGGCTGTCAGGCGCTGCTCTGCGCTATGCTCCTCATCTGCGGGTTGGTTTAGAAGAGATTTTCTCTGCTTAAATATATGTATACATGTGTATATAAATAACATTGATTTTCTTTAGGCACTGGATCATGTTTCTGATGAACCTGCCCATGGCCGTCTGGCTATTCTATGAGCTGCAGAGCCAGCGTCGCGATAGTCTGGGCGTTTACGATCCAGTTGATATTCATAGTCGAGGACTGCTCAAAGTGCATTTGAGGAATTGCATGATTTATCTAGGCTACTACTTTGTCATGTTCTTTGTGGGCCTTTACTGGTTTGTTTATGACATTATTATTATTATCTATGTACGCAATAACTATTTCACTTTCTTTCAGCTTGATTTCTGCATTGCTTAAAGGCGATCCCATCAAACGGCACGAGGATGATGAAATTATTACCGGTTTTTAAGTCTATCCAGGCCAAAGGCTTCCAGTGAGAAAAGTGGACGAAATGTAGACAGAGCTAGTCGCGTAATTAGTAACCTATACCAACTTGCTGATTTTACATTTTCATCTATCATTCACTATCATTATATTCACTCCCATTCAATATCATTTGTTTTTTATTTATTTCATAGCATCTTTAGTCACTTAAGCGTATTCGAATAATATACATCACACATGAATTATATGTACAAAAAATCTTTATTTACCATCCGATCCTTACCAGGTTCAACTACTGTAGAAAATCGACAACTTCTTCGAGTTCCCTTTGCCTCGCCTGCTTTTGTGCCCAACGAGCCTCCGCTGTCTTCACATTCACAACCCAATCGTGAGCCAGCTTTATGCCACATACTCCAGGCTCTATGGTTTTCTTGCAGCTAGTGGACGTGGCTTCTAGTGTTCCTCCCCTGCCCATATATGTCTGCGCATCGGAGCGCGGATGTCGCCGCTTGGCAGGGCAAAGCTTTCCGCCCTTTGGAAACGGCGGCTCAGCCAAATAATGCTTAAGGCACCCTTGATGGAAGAGATGGCCACAGTAGACACGTTCTACGAAGCCATCCGCATGCTCGTCGAGCACTAGGTTCTCTGGCTCCCGCTGCAATACTGTTTTATCACATATGGGACACAGCTCCTGGTGGAAATCTCGTGTTGCTTCGAGGCAAAACTTTAGCGTGCGATAGAGACTGCGAACGGGCTGAAAGTTGGCCAGCTGCTCCTTGTTCAGACGCAACGGTGGCTCCACGCACTGGCGCGCTATCTCCCGCGACTGTCCATTGAGATAGCGAATTAATACGTTGGGGAGATTTGATTGCTGGCCACGCAACTCCACCGACTGATTGGGATAGGAGTCGGGCACAGCGGCTGTGACCCGGTAAACATAGTTTCCGCCACGAGCTATTAACTCCACACTGCTGGTGCGTTGCTTCAGCTTTAATTGGCTGCCCCTATCATCTGCCTGTTCTTCGCTCTTTAGGTCCATTCGCAGTTGCTTAATCTCGTCTAGGCAAACGCAGAGCGGATTATCCAGCAAATATTGCTGAGCAAAGCTCAACACAAGTAAAGCCTGCGGCCTACCCAAGTGCTCCCTAGCATACGCATCTATAAGTTTTGTTAGCTCCGCATGAAATCTCTCAGAATATACTTTACTCTTCAGCTCCACTAGAATAGCCGAAGCTTTCGGATAATCTTCCTCGGGAAAACGTAAACAAACGGTCAATGTGCGATTTGGTCGGTGTGGCAGCAGGTCAATTCGCACCAGTGTTGGGCTGCAGCTTATTATTTTGCTATCTGCAATTTGTTGCTCGCACTTAGCGCGAATGTCACACAGTTCGCGCTCTATAAAATCCATGTTGGGTTGAATAATATTAGTAATAATTTTTTGTGCTAAGTCCAATGAGAAAATTTTTAAATAAATGTCAAACCAGGGCTGGTATGTCAAGAGCTAGTAACACCGGCCATCAAGTAGCGGTTTTAGCAATCGGAGCATGTTGATGCTGCGATGCAATAAACATGATAACTTTTAATGGTATTTTTTTTTAAGTTACATCAAATATAATCTGTTTTATTATCACTGAAATCGAAACTCTTATAAGAAAAACCAGAACCATTCCAGCAGAACAAATTCAATCGAAAAAGAACCAATACACCAGCAGTAGCAGTAGCAGCCCTGGTTGGAACAGCTGTCGATGAAAAGTAACAGTTACTCATAGGTTAGCTCATCTCTATAGCCGCCACGTTTTGGTAAACGAAACGAATCGCTGACGAAATCTGCAGTGAAAATTGATTAAATTGAAAAGCGTTGAAAATGGTTTTGGATTTGGATCTATTTCGCAGTGACAAGGGCGGCAATCCCGATGCGGTGCGCGAGAATCAAAAGAAGCGCTTCAAAGATGTCGGCCTCGTCGAGACCGTCATCGAAAAGGACACCGAATGGCGTCAGCGTCGGCATCGTGCCGACAACCTCAACAAGGTGAAGAACGTCTGCAGCAAGGTTATTGGCGAGAAGATGAAGAAGAAGGAGCCCCTGGGCGCCGATGGCGAGGAGGTGCCCGCTTCGGTACGTTCCGATCTAACGCAAATCACAGCCGAAACCCTGCAAGCATTGACGGTGAATCAAATCAAGCAATTGCGCCTGCTCATCGATGATGCGATGACAGAGAATCAAAAGGCGCTGGAGCTGGCAGAGCAAACCAGGAATACATCGCTGCGTGAGGTGGGCAATCACTTACACGAATCTGTGCCCGTTTCCAACGACGAGGACGAAAATCGTGTGGAGCGCACATTTGGTGATTGTACGAAGCGTGGTAAATATTCGCACGTGGATTTGATTGTCATGATCGATGGCATGAATGCCGAGAAGGGCGCCGTGGTCTCCGGTGGCCGTGGTTACTTCCTAACTGGTGCCGCTGTCTTCCTGGAGCAAGCCGTCATACAGCATGCTCTGCATTCGCTCTACCAGAAGGACTATGTGCCCCTATATACGCCCTTCTTTATGCGCAAGGAAGTGATGCAGGAGGTCGCCCAGCTGTCGCAGTTCGACGAAGAGCTGTACAAGGTGGTCGGCAAGGGCAGTGAACGGGCCGAAGAGAGCGGCACAGATGAGAAATACCTGATAGCCACCTCGGAGCAGCCGATAGCCGCCTATCATCGTGATGAATGGCTGCCAGAGGCATCGCTACCAATCAAGTATGCTGGCCTCTCCACTTGCTTCCGCCAGGAGGTGGGCTCCCATGGACGCGATACGCGTGGCATCTTCCGGGTGCATCAGTTCGAGAAGGTTGAACAATTTGTGCTGACTTCGCCGCATGACAACAAATCGTGGGAGATGATGGACGAGATGATTGGCAATGCGGAGCAGTTTTGTCAATCTCTGGGCATTCCATACCGCATTGTCAACATTGTTTCAGGCGCACTGAATCATGCTGCCTCTAAGAAGCTGGATTTGGAGGCCTGGTTCAGCGGCAGTGGTGCCTACAGAGAGCTAGTCTCCTGCTCCAATTGTCTGGACTACCAGGCGCGTCGTCTGCTGGTGCGCTATGGCCAGACCAAGAAGATGAATGCAGCTGTTGACTACGTCCACATGCTGAATGCCACAATGTGCGCTGCAACGCGTGTCATTTGTGCCATCCTGGAGACCCATCAGACGGAGACGGGCATCAAGGTGCCGGAGCCTTTAAAGAAATACATGCCGTCCAAATTCCAGGATGAGATTCCATTTGTGAAGCCAGCGCCAATTGACTTGGAACAAGCTGCCGCCGAGAAACAAAAGTCCAAGAAGGAGAAGCCGAAGAAGGATCCAGCAGCTGCCTAAGCTAAAGACTAACTTTCATACCGAATGACCCATAGAAGATGATCCAGCAGCTGCCTAATGGACGGATAAATCCCAATCCCTAGCCTCAAGCCACGCGATTCACTCAACATAAACTAAGCTTTCGAAATTGTGTTATTATCTAATATATATTTATCGCATTTATTGCAAAAACGTTTTATAATTAAATCGGGCACAAGTTGCGCTTCACAATGCAAAAGCTATAGAACAATAAATTTATCTTTTATTATTAATATATCAATAACAAGATAAGATAGTCATTGAAAGCTGTTGAAGTATTCTGCGCAAGTATGGGGTATATGATGTATGCATAAAGCTCATGTCTTGATGCGTAGAAGATCATTTTATAATCAAATTGATTTCTATACTTAAAAAGGTTTTACAAAATATATCAGTAAATATTTTGGCTTTAATAAATTTAATACTTGACTTTCTTAGGCATAACTCAGACTAGATTTAGGGTATCTGGGTAGTTGTCAAAGGTGGTATGAATTGTACTCTACTTAGGGTATCTGCTAGTCGGATATTTCCAACACGTTTTTCCATTTACAGTAATCTTTGCAACATAGCAACCTGCGATATATACATACATATATTCTATGCTAATATAGTAAACTCAGCCGGCGATTCCTGGTTGCCTGGACAACGTCTCCGAAATTTGTTTACAAGCAATCCTAAGTTTTCCCTTGAGTTGAAAGAGAAAATATTGTTAAAGCATAAGGAATCTTATAGAAATATCCACAATGTCACTCCAGAAACGTCGTGAAAAATTAAACAAACCCACGCGCTGGGATCGCATACGGAAGCGTCAGCTGAACCCCAATTCCTTGGGTCTGAAAACGGAGGCAGTGCGTCGCTTCATCGAGGTGGACTATGTGGATCGTAAGCAGGCGCAGCTGCTCATCGATGGCCAGCCGCAAAAGCAGCTGAATCCCAGCGTGGTCATGGACATGCGCCATGAGATGGTGAGTTCCAGGATCTGGAGATGATTAATTGGGGGCTAAATATTTCATTCTCGCTGCAGTTCGCCAAGATTCCACGTCAGCTGCCGCTAGCCACAGTGGCTTTTAGCAGCAATCTGGACACCACAAAGGCGCACAATTTGGAAGTGGAGCAGCGCTATATGAACAATCAGCTGCAGAAGTTTCGCCAGCAGCTGGCCAGGCAGCATCCGCGCAAGCAGGAGCGGAAGATACACGTGCGGCCCACCAAGCCGGACTTCAAGCTCAATCATGGACCACTTATGCAGAGCTTGACGCAGGCAGCTCAGCACATCGACAACTTCTACAAGACTCCCGTGGATGCTCTGAGTCAAGCAGCGCAGCTGTGCTCCATGCGCAAACAGCTTGCGACGACATCGCTGCTGCAGCAGCTGGAAGGGCAGCCCGAGGCGGAGGCCGACGTAGATACGGATCAGAATTGGCTGCAGGCGAAACCAGATGAAGTGAAGCCTGAGCTGGGCGAGGAGGTGGACATGCTGGAGTATCGCAAGTTTGTGAAGCAGGTGGAGTTAGACGAGAGCAGGAATCTGCTCCATAAGAGATGCCGCACGCCAAGCCCTCTTCTGACTACGGAGGAAATGTTCCGGCCCATGCGTGCGGCAGCTGAGCGGCAAAGGCGCCACATGGAGGAGGTGAAAACGGAGGAGGAACAGCGGGCTCAACAGCAGCCAATGGAGCAACAGCAGCCGAGTGAGCACTCGCTGCAACGCGAGGCATCCACTTGCTCCAATACCAGTGATGGCATTGATTCCGTCATCTCTGATCTGGCCGAAGAGGCTCTATACGAACTGCAGCTGGAAGCAGCGGAGCAGGAGCAGGAGCAGTTAAGGCAAGTGGATGTGGGCGTGGTAGAAACAAAAGTCGAAACAACTATCAAGCTGGTCAAATTTCATCTGCCGACGCCGGAGACAACGCCGTCACCCACGACCTCATCAGTGGAGCAGCTGCAGCCTCTGCTCATACGTCGCATGGATATACCAAAAGTTGTGGTGCAGCCCAAGCAGCAGGCGGAACAGCCAAAGGAGAAGCAGCCGCTGGACAGCAGCTCGGATGCAGCACCTGTTGAGAAGGAAAGGATTATCGACGAGCTCTTCCATCCACGCAGCGAAACGGAACTGAGCTGCTTACGGAAGCACTTCCTCAAGTGGATACACTATACAACCATGGAGAAGATAGAGCGAGAGCCCGGCAAGACGCACGTGAATCGCGCGGCGAAGATCAATGCATTTCTGGACAAGCTCCGACAGGAGAAGAGGCGACTGCGTAACAACAAGCGACCCACAACGCCAACCGATGCGGAAAAGCGAGCTCAACGAACGATGGAACAGCGCGAGGAGGCGGTCAAGATGGCCAAGCAATTTAAGACAAAGTAGGCAATGCCAATAACTTAAGGATTAGTCACTTGCCTTATCTAATCCTTTGCTTCCACAGGCTCAAGGTGCAGCAGGACATCATTGACCTGCAGCGCGTCAAGCTGGAGCGGCAGGAGCGTCTCATAATGCAGCTAAAGCTAAATAAGCTCAGCGAGGAGGCCAAGGCGGCGCGTGAGGACCTCAAACAGGAGCTGAAGACTGTCATACGATGCGGCGATCCCAAGGCCAAGGCCAAAGCCAGATGCCTGCAATTAATTGGCAGCCTGCGCGATGCGGAGGATGAGGAATTTGAGAGGCTGCAGGGCAGGGCATTGTTGCAACCGCGCTTCCTGCAACACATGCAGGAAAGAGCGCTGGAGCGGAGCGTGCGACATGAGCAAGCGCGTCAGCGCAGGGCACAGGCGGACGCTGAACGAGAGGCTGCCAAGTTGGCCTTGGAGGAAGCAAAGGTAAATCAGGACAGACATATGAAACATATACATATACTTATATATATACTTACCTGTTGACTGTATAGCGCCAGGAGGATGAGGAGGCCAAGCGCCTGCGCATTGAAGTGCTGAAGGAGAAACGCCGCCAAGAGAAAATGGCAAAGGTGCTTAGGGAACGCGAGCGCCAGCGCTTCCTAGAGAATCAGCGTAAGGCTCTTGAGTTTAGTCGTCGTCTGTTCCTGCGCTTGGGCATGGAATGCTTCAAGCGTCTCATTCAACGCAAGCGTGACAATTTGGTCAAAAGCGAAGAGTTCTGCCGTCGTCTCTACAAGCGCAAATTCTTTGTAGAGTGGCGCAAATACGCGGAATTCAGCGTCCGACAGAAGCACATACGGGCTGAGCTCTGTTACGAGAAGGCCTTAAAGCGCAGAGCCCTGCAAGAGTGGCGTCTTTATGCCGTGGAGCAGCGTAACAAGATGTTGGTGGCCATTGACTGGTATGCTTTGCGCTGCACGGAGCATTGGTTCGGGCGCTGGCTAGGATACACCACCGGCTGTCGTCTAATTGAGGACACGAAGATGCAGCAGGCTGTTTCGCATCATGAATGGTAAGTGCCTGCAGTATATATCAACAGCCTTTCCTTACTCTGTTTCTCATTTAGGCATCTCAAGTGGAAAGTCCTGGATTGCTGGCGCCGCCTGCCGCAAGTTTTACGCTTGGAAAAGGAGACAGAGGAGCGACGTCAGCGTTGGCGCATGAAGATCTGGGAGCTGCTGCCCGATTACAAGCCGAGGGAGGATAGTTTATGGTAGCTTAAATATTATTTGGTATTGTAAATTTACTTTTTTGTTTGACTCGGCAGAATCATAAAGAAACGTAGTTGTTGGTTTCAAAACAGAGTTGCATGCGTACAGTGGTGGCACAACTATTAGACACACCTATAACTGAACACTTGTATTTCCAGTTGGAGAATAGTACTATCCCAATTGGGAGACTCCCCAATAATTAGAAAAAAAAAAATAATTATATACATATTTTTAATATTAAGTCTTTACATTAACCAGGTTAGTGGTCTTTATGAATATTAAATTTATTTTTATTCAATAAATTGCTTTATCTAATAGAAGCTACAATATAAGCGAAATTGCCAAATTAATTTTTACAATAAGTGTGGTTTGTCTAACTTAAACATGAAAAACAAATACACTTAATATACAATAAGTATGCGATTATACAATTAATCTAATCACTAAACAATTACATTTTGAGAACACCTTTGTGCGAAGCTCTAAAAACTATTAACACACCTTAAATGGTGTCAAATATAGGGATAGTTTCTTTGAACTTATATATTAACATATTTCGATTAATTGTTCAATCACGACTAAAGGCTCTCAAATAGTTGTAATACTAAATGCTTAACGTATTTCTACACAAGCTTAAATTGCGCGTTCGAACTTGAGCCTAAATATATGAATCAGCACATACACATATATACATGTATATATACATATACATATATATGGGTAGCTTAATATCTAATTGGCTCCAACAGCAGCAGCTAATACATTGACGAATTTGTAGCTTAGTATAAATGTTGCATTAGTTTAGTATTTGGTATTTTTTGGTTGATTTCCCATTACTTTAAAATTGCGCGCCAATTGCTCCAAACACGATTCCGATTCCCACTTGGAGTTGAAATACGTTTATACTCGTGCAAAGTGGTGCCGCGCCACCACAAAAACAATTGACGGAGTAGAACAAAAGTAATAAAACCAGAGATCAGCAAGGCATACGCAGCCACAACGAACGAGATGCCCAATCTATGAATGAAGAGAATAAATAATTTGTATATTATATAATTTGAGTTGCAACTCACTCAAAGTCCTCGAAGACCTCGCTGCAGTCGTCGGGTAGCAGAAGAGGAATACCAAGCAGACGCACCACTAAGAATGGATGACAGACAGCAGTCAAGGTCAGGTTGGCGCCCAGCAGTAGGGCACATTCAGAGAGAGCCAAGGCCAGCAGATAGCAGCGATAGTTGCTCTCTCCAATGCAACAGTTGAGCCAAAAGCTGTGATGGGATCGTCGCTTCACACAGCTGCCACAGATGACACAGTGATAGGCACGTCGAGGGGTTACCTTGCGACAAATCTCACAGATGTTTGGCTGTGAATGTTGCATAAGACCCGCATCTTCATTCTCCTCCTCATCGTCCTCGATGCCTAGCACAGTGTCCGCCATGAGGGTAACTGCTTCATGCGCCTGCTGTTCGGCCTGCTCCTCGCCACTGGACGCTTCCGTGATGCCTGGCAGCTCATCTCGTGGCGTGTTTCCGTATTGCGTCGTCACCAGATCCAGCGAAGCCAATTTCTGCACACGATAAAGCATATAAAGTGCTCCGATCGACAGGCTAAGTAACAGATAATTCTCCTCTGGCAGCAGCTCTAACAACGGCACCGCAGACTCAAAGATAATGGCCATGTAGCAGACGGAAAAGACAACCCAGCTGCGAAAGAAACTCGTCTTTGTGGCCGTACGCTCAGCCAATTGCAAACCCCAGCAGGTGAACCCAATCAGCGTCAACATCATCACAATTGCCGTCTTTGCATTGAGTGCAGCCAAGCAAATCATGAGCGGGATAATTAGAGCTGGAGCCAAGGCAGCGGGCGAGATACGTTTGGCGCCGCCCCGCCATGGCAGACGCAGTCGATCCTGGAACGCAATCAACATGTTGTCCAAATTGCGCTTATCAATGGGTTTGCAGAAGATAAATCTGAAAATAGTATGTGAATGTAGATATTTATCTTTTGAATTGACAATGGCCAGGGGTAGCTTCAGCCCGAGTTTTCTTCCATCCGCTTGGCATGTCGAGTGCAATTTCTCTTACCTTGTGCATACCAAGTCAAAGTCTTCGCAATTACAGCAGCATCCTAGTATATGAAATCGTTTCCTATCATGACCAATATATTCGCAGCAACAGAGGCTACGAGTATCCCTTTCTCCCCGTTCGGCTTCTTCCGCTGCAGCAATAAAATTTGTCATTCAAGCCGGATCGATTTGCAAGTTTGGAACAAAAGAAAAGTTTGTTTTTTCGTCACGCAGCGTGTGTGGAAGAATAATTTGTTTAAATTAATTTAGGGCCAGCCACAAAGTGGGATTAAAGTGTGCAACTGAATACTATATTTAAACATATCAAAATATTACTTTTAATAGGCACTTCAACTACTTTCTACTTACACGCTTAACTCTTCTGCGATAACAACAAAAGCCCACCCCCCCATCACAGGGTGACCTGTGGCCGTAAAAATCATCGGCGATAGTTGATTTTTTATTGTAACTTTAATTCAATTATGCCGCGCTTTAAATTCTCGTCAGCATTCCATAAATAGTTAATTTTAAAAACATTCTCACTTTTAACATAATCTATAAATTGCTCTAAGCCACCACCTACACCGAAATAATGTGATTTGCCAGCTACTAAAACCCTTCCATCTCTCTTGAGGCGTTTTCGGAATGTTTCTAAAAGCTTTTGCTGGTTTTCTATGTTGTAGATGGTCTCCGATGTCAGTATTATATCATATTTTTCTAAATTATTTGTGAGCGCGGCGAAATATGACCAGTCGCCTGCATAGAAATGGCATTTTTGTAGGAGCTCCATTTTCTCATCATCATTTAAAGTATCTTCGAAGTTAAGCAGCACATTTGGCATTGTTATTTTCTCTAAGACATCCTTGTTCTAAGCAAAAATTACAAATTTTATTAAACAATAATGATATGGTAAAGAGTTCTTTACTTACATAATCCTGAAAGTCAATTTTCGCACCACATTTCCAGGAATATATGCCTAGAAGTCCGGAGCCACAGCCCAAGTCCAAAACCAACTTATCTTTCCAATCCGATTTTGCAAAGTTTTTCGAAAGATATATCAACAAATCATCGGTACATTCCCAAATTTTAGCACCGCCTGGTGTTATAAGGCTTTTTTTTATGTTTAGTTAAAAAAAATACTACACTTTATTTAACAAACCTTCATAGACGCCTGCTATTAAGTCAGAGTGACTTTCTTCTGACTTCCTTAAGTCCTGGGTGTCTGAATCATTGTGTTTTTTAATATCTTCTAGCAGAAAGCCCGCAATCAGGTGTCGTAATTCGACATCGCCGATAGTTAATTCTTTTGCGTTGAGTTCGTAGATATCCAAACTTTGTAAGAGATCTTTCGTTGGTTTTACTTCCTCGGCTTGATACCAATCAATCTTTTCCTTTGGCGAATCTGATTTTGACTTTTCAACAATTTTAGGCTTCTTAAAGGGACTTTCAGTATCCGATGAATCCGACTCGTTCACTTCAAAATTGAACTCGAACATTTTAGCACTTAAGTCACCCTGTTTGTTTTGGTTCACTGTTGTTTAACCGGCAAGCAGAAAAAATGGCCCAAAGAATAATTTTAAATATTTATTGTTTTATGGAAATCTATAAATATATTTGTTTTCATACCTAAGAGTAGTTAATTTTAACTAAAACTCAGCTGTTAAACATTCAACTCCGCACACTAACTGGAAGCACGCTGCTTGCACCGGGTTATCGATAACATTAACTAGTGGTGCGAGACCGAAATCGGTTGTGCCACCACAAAAGTCAGACGATAAACGCGAATAGGACATCACCAAATTTTGCATTTTCGCTGGACTTTTTGTTTATTTTATTTAAAATAAAATAAAAATGGCTGATCAAATTCAACCCGATGTAAGTAAAAGGTTTGTGATTAAGGCCTTAAAACTAAAAGAGTGATTTCGCATAGGGTGGTCCCCCGGCGCCATTGATGTCCATTCGTTTCGAGCCGCAACAAACGACCGAAAATGCGGCTGCCAATGGCAGCGGAGCCGGCGACGTTGAAGAGGCTGCGGAAACTAAGAAAGCGGCTGAGCTAGTGCTACCAAAAGCGCTAGAAGATGTGTTGGCACTTAAAGATCAGCGTGTGGCTGAATTTGATGTGGATGTTGATGCAAGAGGGGGCCTAGCTGCAGACGGGGGCTCACAAGACGGCGACTTCGCCGATGTTGGCGATGATAGCGATGACGAGGCCGATAACCAAATAAATGGTAATACCAATGATAAGTCTGGCAAGCAAAGTAAGGCGGACAAAAATAAAAAGAAGAAACGTCGTAAGAAGCAAAATAAAAAGTTACGACAAAAATTGGAAATGGAGCGACAACAGCAACTGGCGCGACGCTCTGAGCCAAGAGAGGAGCCCGAGGAAGAAGCGAAAGCAGCTGGCAGTGATGATGAAGAGCAGCCAGCGAAGGAGAAGGAGTCGAAGAGAGAGACTCGCAGCAGCAAAAAGAAGAAGGAGCGTGAAGAGAAAGAAAAAGTTAAGGAGCGAAATAAATCGGAAAGCAACGAGGAAGATGTAACCATTGAGTAAGTGCACACAGCTTTAAAAATTCATTTAATACTAATACATCCATAATTTAAGGTATGTGCCGGAGAAAATTACTATAGCAGATCTAGCGCCCATGTACCGTCAATTCTATCGTGTGTTTGAGATCTTTAAGCTGGAGAATAAGCCAAAGCCCGTGGAAAAGGATAAGGCAGCTCTAGATGCCGAAGCACTAGCAAAAGCTAAGAAATCCTCGAACAAAATGCACGACGACGATGACGATGATGCCGACGATGATGAAGACAATAAGGAGGACAAAGAGAAGTTATCCAAGCGCAAGTTGAAGAAACTTACACGACTCAGCGTAGCGGAGTTAAAGCAATTGGTCTCTCGACCAGATGTTGTGGAAATGCACGATGTGACAGCAAGAGATCCCAAATTGCTCGTCCAGCTGAAAGCGTACCGCAATACTGTGCAAGTGCCACGTCATTGGTGCTTCAAGCGTAAATATCTGCAGGGCAAACGCGGTATTGAGAAGCCGCCATTTGATCTGCCCGCCTTCATCAAGAAAACGGGCATCATGGAGATGCGTGAATCGCTGCAAGAGCGCGAGGATGCAAAAACTCTAAAAGCGAAAATGAGAGAACGTGTTCGCCCCAAAATGGGTAAAATCGACATAGACTATCAGAAACTGCACGATGCCTTCTTCAAATGGCAAACGAAGCCTCGCATGACCATTCACGGAGATCTGTATTATGAGGGCAAGGAGTTCGAGACACGTCTCAAAGAGAAGAAACCCGGAGATTTGTCTGAGGAGTTGCGCATTGCATTGGGTATGCCCGTTGGACCAAATTCGCACAAAATACCGCCTCCATGGTTGATTGCTCAACAGCGTTACGGACCACCGCCCTCGTATCCGAATCTAAAGATACCCGGCCTGAACGCGCCCATACCAGAAGGCACCTCGTTTGGCTATCATGCCGGTGGCTGGGGTAAGCCGCCAGTCGATGAGAATGGCAAGCCGCTCTATGGCGATGTATTCGGCATGAACACTCTGGACTTGGATGTGAGTAGACTAACTAACAAATATATGAAAGCAAATATGAATTTTTTATTTCTTTCACAGAATGGTATTGATGAGGCAGACATTGAGCGCAATCAATGGGGTGAGCTGGAGTCGGAGTCGGAGGAATCTTCCGAAGAGGAAGAGGAGGACGGTGAAGATCTGGGCAATCAGCAGGATGAAACTGGCCTGGTAACACCTGTCGAAGGTCTGGTTACGCCGTCTGGTCTGACCAGCGTGCCCGCAGGCATGGAAACACCCGAAAATATTGAGCTGCGCAAAAAGAAAATCGAGGCCGAAATGGAGGAGTAAGCTATAAATGAAATCCACTACAAACAAGACAAACTAACTTGTGATCCTCTTTCTTGTAGCAATGAGACACCTGTACTCTACCAAGTGCTGCCAGAGAAGCGCACCGATCGCATTGGCGCTTCGATGATGGGCTCCACTCATGTGTATGATATTGGTGGCGCCGGCGCCGGTGCGAATAAACAGCCACCCGTACGCTCCACAACGGATCGCGAAGGCATTGTGGAACTTGCTTTAGATCCGAGTGAATTGGATCTGGACAACGATGCGATGGCTCAGCGCTATGAGCAACAAATGCGCGAGCAACAGAATCACCTGCAAAAGGAGGATCTGTCAGACATGTTGGCCGAGCATGTGGCTCGACAGAAATCCAAACGCAAGCGACAGCAAACTGACCCGGCTAAGACCACCAAGAAGTACAAGGAATTCAAATTTTAGTGCATCAATTTCTTTGCTAAGATTCAAGATTGTCATTTAAAAGAAAATAATAGTAAACATTTTAAAACTGATTGAAACAGCATTTACTATTACTTCATAGTTTATTAAGTTTTTCAGTTCAGCCAGCGAACAGAATTTAGCAATTAGATTATTGATATTTTAATCAATTTCCAAAATTGAGCAGTTCTACTTAACGAAGCTAGCACAAAAATATTATCTAAATTTGATTGCATAAAATCGTACAACAAAAGTTTCTTCAAAATTAATGAGATCATAACGACCTCTCCTTTGAATAAATGAATAACTCATTCGATTTGTTGTTCACACAAAGTGCGAATATTATTTCTTTTGTTTGATATCTTATAAAATGATCATATTATTATTTAAAATTCTTTACAATGAAATATAGCGCTGATGAAAAAACTTACATATTATGTTGTTGCCTGTTGTGTGTTGCGACAAGTGGCCAAAAAAGGATTCCCGAGCAAAGCAAGTGAGGAGCTGTGCGATAGTACAAATACATTATAGCATGTACAAACTATATATGTAGCTGCAGCTGAATGAACGTATCTTTTATACAACTTATACAACTAGACGCACGCACTCCTTGCGTATCTTTTTATGGCCATAGATAACTACGCTAACTGGTGTTCTTGTGGTCCGTTTATCTATAATATCTTGGTCATTCGTCCAGATGCTCGTTGAGCTGGGCCAGCAGCGCTGCACGCTTGGACTCCAGCTCGCCATCGCTCAGCGTCAGCTCCTCATTTCTAGATGTCGCCGAATCAGATTGAGCAGCAGGACTGAGCGGAGTCACTGAGCGATTGTTCTGATGTCGTTGTTGTTTGCTTTCCTTGTCCCGTTTGGTGCGCTTCTCTTTCTTCTTCTTTTTAGCGGGTGAGTGGGAATTTGAATCATTTTGCTGCAGGGCAGCAGCATTGAGGGGTGACTGATTAATCAAATCCGATTCGCAAGATGACTGAAACAATAAATGTTATCAGTGAATTAAGGTAAATGCATTTCAAATACTTACGGCTCTGGATTTGTTCTTGCGTTTTTTCTTCTTCTTTAACAGCTTTTCACTCTCAATGCTGCCAATCGAACTAAGCGAATTCTAAATGAGAAATAAATTTAAAAAATAGCTATTAGATAAGTTATTGACCATCGAATTCGCTTCACTTACGGAGCGTGATTTGGAGCGTCGTTTCTTGGATTTTTCTAGTTCGACCAGCTCGTTTTCAATATCTGATCTAGACGTAGACCTAACACGTTTTTTATGCTTTTTATTCTTTTTGGATTTACGCGAGCGCGAGTGATGGTGACTACACGCATCTTCGCTCTCTTTGATAAAGTCTTCCCAAATCTTTTCCACGCCAATTTCTTTTTCATACAAGGCGAACGCTTCTAAGTGCTCGACCAGCTTTTTGGCACTGTCGTAGGGCTCGCTGACCGAGACATTCGCCTCCAACCATTCGTTTTTGATTTCATTTTCTAGCCTACGCAAACGTCTTACTTCCTCCTTCATGCGCTCCTTTTCAATAGCCTCGGCCTGCAAATGAGATAAAATTTATAAATATAAACTTTTACATTATGGTTTTTATTCAACTTGTTTACCTTTTCCAGCAGCGAATTATAGGTGAGCTTCACATTGCCCGCATCCAGGCTGGCGGACCGTTTGTCTTCGCACACGACTGTGGCGAAGTCCTCAAAGGATGTTTTCGCTTGTACAACAAATTGCTTCTCCTTGAGTATCTCACGAATGATCTTCTTTTCATCATGGAATCGAGCCTTCAAATTCTCTACATAGAACTTAAATAGATCTAAAGGTGTTGATCCACTTTGACCCAACATAGCAGAGAATCGTATATCGGCCGATATAATGGGATATAGCTCTACCCACAACGACATGGAAGTGAGCTTTCCCTCTTCGTGAAGGGAATCGAGCAATGCGAGAAAAGCATCACGATTCTTACGCTGTTGCCGCTTTAACCTTTTCTTTTCCCTTTCCCGTTCCTCTTCCTCCTCCTTTTCCAGTGTGCGAATATGCTCCTCGAACACAATGAGCGCATCCTCTTTGTCCATGCCAAGCAGCGTCACATCGTTCTTAAACGCCGCATTATCCAGAAGCATAACCTGCGCCTCTGACCATGTGGTGGTGTACGTAATGGAGGTCATTGATTCCAGCAACTCGCTGAGCACCTTCATATTTCTTTTCTTCAGTAAACGAGCCTCCTCTTTCTCTCTCTTGGCCAAATTGAAGATGCAATCCTCATAAATATCGCGCCGATCCTGTTCGGGCACGGCTGTCCACGTCCGATTGTTGGCAAACACCTCTTCGCAACGAAAGTATTTCATTTGCGAATTCATCTTATCGCTAGACATGAGAAATTGTTCCAAATCCTCTTTCGCTTTTTTAGCACGCAAACGCGATTCCTCGCGTTCATCTTTTATCTTTTGTGTTTTGTAGGCGTTAAAGGTTTGTTTGCGTTCGTTGAGAGTTTTGAAGGCATTGTATCGCGGGTCCTTTGATATGATCTTCACGCATTGATCCCAGTTAGCAGTGGAGGGTACATTACGATCGCGCAGAAGCTCCTTGAATGCCTCAATTGCCTCGCGCTTATCTTTGAAGACAAGGGCGTTATTTTCGGTGCCATTTTTATCATCTTTTTTATCTGAATATTCAAAAGATTCATATTAATTTTGATTGATATCTTTCCTCCGTCTACTTACTATTCTGCTGTGGCACTTCGATGGCTGCTAAGGTGGCAGCCATTGCCTGATCCATGGCTGATGAGCTATTTTCATTGCTACTCGGGGTCAGAGGCGAGTGAATTTCCGGCGTGGGTATTCGAGGCACCGTGGGCAACGCTGCAGGCAGTATATTGGCCAATGCGACGTGTGGTACCATGCCAGCCAAGCTAGACGAGGTCATAGCAGCCACAGCTTTAGCCGCTGCTGCTGCTCTGGAAGGATATGTAAACAATTTCGGTTAATCTTGATCTTAATCTTAATAGTATCTACAGCCAATACTTACTCCTCTGCCTTAGCTTTGGCCTTCATATCCAAATATTCCGGCGGTGGCTCCCAGCACGTTTCCTTGGTGCTCACGTTGTGATAGTAAACCTTGTTGGCATCTGACCGATATTCCTTCCATGGACATTGATTATGCAGCAGTTCGGCAGGTGTCATCAGCGCCTCTGGTTTCTCCCACGAACTTTGTTTTGTATTTTGATTATAATAATACGGACGTCCGTCCGGCGCTTTATGTTCCGTCCACTCCGTATTTGAGGCAAGGGCACCAAATGCAGCTGCCAGTTCGGGTGGCGGCGGTGCTCCAAAGCCTGGCGGAGGCAAGTTAAATGGTGGCACTGGAACCATGCCCGGCGTGTGAGGATGTGTGTATCCCATGCCGCCCATTGCTGCAGCTGCTGCTGCGGCGGCGGCTGCGGCCGCTGCTGCTGGCGGCATCGGCTGCTGCATAGCTGCATTGCCATTGCCAGCGCTAGGAGGAACATTCATATTTTCACTATTTTGCTATATGATTTAATGAATTTAACGTTTTGGTACGAGTACCGGTCGTTCTGTTGCGGCAGCCAATTCGATGCTTTTCACAGAAATTGCAAATTTTAACTATTCTTTTTTTTACACTTCTCCCGTTTTGTCATTCACAATGTTTGCTGCGTGGTTAATACGGAAAAGTACCAAGAAGCAGACAATAATTTTTTTGGTATTTTCAAGACACTTAATACTTATCGCAATAAAGTTATCGAATTTACCTTTTTTTTGTGGAAATCGGGTGGGTTTACTTATTGCATAGATATAGATACAAAAATATACGTCTATAAACATTATCAAAGAATGTAAGCTATTATTCAAACTATGAAAGACTAAATATATAGTATATTTTAGATGACCAATATATTAAAAACTAATTTTCAATTTGATATACGCGCGTGTACACAATTAATCGATAGCGCGTATACCTACTATCGATTCAATTATATGGTCTCTGCCAACACCATCAAAACAGAAAGGAAAACAAATATATGATTTGGCGAAACGAAAGCGCGCCACTTGCTTTCATTTTCAGAATAGGAAATACAGGCGAAACCCCTAGTATCTATCTAAACTTTAGTAATGCGTGGGACATACATATGTATATGTGTGTATGTACATTGTATACGCATTGACGTATTTTATTGGCCCAAATGTAATGTACTTTACAATTAATCTAGTTTAAAATGTCTACAATATAAAACAAAATTAAAGGTCAAAATTTTACTAATCTTAAATATTTGCACAACGCACTCGGCCAATTACAATCGCAAATTGCGCCTAACACTGTACATCAAATAGTTCGCAGATTCCTTCGTCATTTTTCAATACGAAATTAAAGTCTTCTTGGGGAGGATTTAGTTGAACAAGAGGTGGATTTTCTGAAATTATAGATTATATTGATATCACAGTTAATTGCAACTTAACAGAATTCCACAAGTTACCTAAATTGGGATCATCGGGATAAAAGCGCCTCAGTGAGTGGCCAGCCATATAATTTTGAAAGATTATTTTTGCTGTACGTTCATTCTCAAGCGCCTTCTCTTCTTTGTGCTCGGAATTACACGAGTATGTATGTTCATCCTGGATGACATTACCAGTGCCATTGCCTGCTTTACTGGAAGAATGTGTTGGTGACGATGATGGAGACGGTGAGTCTGAGTAGCGATCATCGAACGGACCATGAGCATCATTTGGATTTGTTGTTCCTTTGCCTTGGTTGGTGACCAAACGTATATCTATTGTGCTCCCATTATCTAGTGACACTTTCAGCTCACGCTGATAAATTATATAAATTAAATTAGTAGTATGATATTTATATGCGAGCAAGCTTCTATAAGTTCTGCATACATCACTGCGGTGAATCTCCACCTCCTCGTCGTAGTTTGGTATGGTGAAAACGGAATCGTCTCCAAATATTTGAAGTAGATCATCACGTGTAACATACGCATACGACTGATTTGTTGGATCCTGCATTATATAGTGCAGGTTACGCTGTGCGTACTCCAATTGTCTATCCAAATCCTCCTCTATACTTTTCAAGCGATTCGTTCGCTCGCAGGCTACATCATACTCTTTATGATCTTTGGCATTATTGAAGCCTCCGCCACTAAAGCAAAAAAAAAGGAAATATATATATATATATATAAATTATCTCAAGTTAAGGTAAAGCTAGCTAAACTCAGCAACAAATGTGTAATAATAAAATAGCTCGAAAGAACATTCGACTTATGATAGTACAGGTAGTCCTTCTTACCGCCAACGCACTAACGAACAGTGTCTGCCCTTATCAATAAGGCCAATGCCCTCCAAGACGTTGGTGATATCATAAATACGTCGCTTCTGCACATCCAAGATTTTCGTGGCCTGTAAGGAATATAATTAGACCAATTTAAGGATGCAATTGTGAAGTGAACATTACATACCTCTTTCAAGTCAATTGAGCCACCATTCTCTTTCATTAGCTCCACAAATTTTTGGGTCAGCAATACCAGCGAGCCCACCGAGCGCTGTTGACTGTGTGGCTGTTGTTGTTGCTGTATTTGTATTTTAGATTTTGGTTCTGGTTGGTCGTCTACTGCCATATCAATGTGGTAAGTATCTAAGGCTTTGGTATCCAACTTAATTTCATGGCCGCTACGAGTGTCATCATTGTCATCGGGGCTGCTACTGCTGGCCGTGATGATCCGCTGCCTTGGTACTGGGGCACCAGATTTACGCTTATACATGGCGCGCTACTTAAATATGGATCACGGTACGATGTTTAATGTTTGATTTGTTGGCCTAATCGATTTGTGGCGTGTTTGGGCAATGATAATATTCTTTTATTTTTAATATAAATCTCAATTAAATACAAATGTTGGCGCTTGAGCACAATTCCGCCATTTATGTCACTTTTTTCATTCACTCAGCGCTGCAATTAGGGTTGTTAATTTGCAATTTATCGGTCGACCACCACAATTACAAGCACAAAAATGTTGGCGCAATTAGTTATGTATACTTTTCTGAAACCAAATTTATTGCTTATTTTACAATTTATCTTTGTTAAATATAAAATCATTAAAGTTAAGCATATTTCTGCTATTCATATGGCTGTTTTACTAACGTATACTAATTTTACAGTGTGTAGCTGTACCAATTTATCGAAACACCCAAAAGAGCTATCGATCAATTGAACATGATTATATATAATTATTTCATTCTACCAATTTTTTTAAAGTTTCTACATGAATCAGATAATTTCTTATGAGAGTACTTACAATTATAGCATCAGAAACCAAAAGTGATACTAGTTAGGCATGTTTCTACTGCACACCATGTGTGCAAGTGAGAGGCGCGATTATACAGCTGCTTCAATTGCGTGTCTCTCAACAATTCCAATTACTTCTTGTTTGGAAGTAACTTGAATATTTAGCGCGGTTTGGTTCTTTTTATTCAAATGAATCGACCTTATTAAAAAGTCTTACATTTCAAGCACGTTTTATACTGCTGAGCATGTAAGTCTTTTTATTCAAAGGATACGAGAGTGCTGCACATTTTGTTTCTTACATGTGTATTTATATATAGCTTGTTATATATACGTATATACGTATCTCTTATATCCTATAGTATTTTATTGAAATTGTTATATTATTATCACTTGAAGAACCGATAATTGCATATTATTTTACCTCACCATGCATTCACATTACCTATTTTGAACGAGTCATGCGCGCCCACATGGCATTGAAAAATCTGTATTTTTCAACACTTGAAGTGTTGCCCATCACTATTTTTTGTAAGTTTGTTTTGCTTACACATTTTGTACAGAAAGAACGTGCTCTGTAGATTTATATTCATATTTATTTCAAAACAATTGTATAAAGAACACAATGCCTTCAAAAGTGAAACCAAGACTTTCCCGTGGCTTGTTGGACATGAAGTTCATGCAACGCACAAAAGCGAAAGTAGCCAAAGAAGAAGATGACGAACAGAGCCGCGCAATGTACTCGAATGAGATGAATCAAAAGATGCTCAATAGTAATTCCAATTTTATTATCGAGCCAAGCTATACCATCTGTGCAGGACTAATCGATGGGCGTCTTAGCTTCCGTGGTATGAATCCGGAACTGGAGCGCCTAATGGAACTGGAGCAAGCCGAAAAACAAGGCAATACGAAGCCAGAACAGCCGAAAGAAGTCAATGATCAGGAAATGGCTGAGATATATTATGCGAATCAAGCGCCAGCCGCAAGCAGAACGATGAACAAAAAGTTCGTCACTAAAAACGAGTACAAGCGCAAATCCAATGACAATCCCAAATGGCAAAAGAAAGGACAATTCAAGAAACCTCGAGAAGATGATGAAGTTTAAATAAACACTATAAGCATATTACATAGTGACTTAACTCTAAATATTAAATAATGTTCAGCTGCATTCAGTTGGCATCTGTTTAACAGCTTGCAGCGCATAGCAGAGCTGTGTGGAGTTGATCCAACGCCAAGTGTTGCGACAAAAATCGTAGGTGCTGCCATTGACGAGCACGGTTTGACAATTCACTGCAAAGACATTGGATTAGTTATTATTTAATTTTACGTTATACCATTTATCTTTTTAATTTGTAAAATAGATAATCAACACTTTAAAATATTTGTAGTTACTTTTGATAATATAAAGCTCAAAATTGAATTTTGATGCTTCAATTGCATACCAAAATTGCTTAATGATTTTGTATATCGCTTACTTGTATCTAATATGCGTTGCACATCCAGTGGTGCAATCATTTTATCCCAGTGATGTGTGCCCTTAGGTGCTATATTTAGGATATATTCACCAATGACGACGCCGCCGATCCACATTGGCACGGTTTTGTTCATGGTGGTTATGAATATTGAGCCGCCAGGTTTCAGAGTCTTTACGCAAGCGCTTAGTAGAGCCACCTTATCGTCAACATGCTCTAGAACTTCAGAAACTACTAGCGCATCATACCTCTCGAAATTCGCTTTGACATGCTGGTCGATGGGTTCCATTTTGTATTGGACTCTATCACAGAGTTCTGCACTGCAGTTACTCAAATGTTCTTTTGCTGTTTTAATCAGTTCTTCACCAAGATCGATGCCTGTAACTTGAGCGCCCAAGCGCGCAAGTTGCTCGGTCAGTAAGCCAGCTCCACATCCAACCTCCAATATGCACTGTCCACTCAAGACTTTTGTTGTGTTTATATAACGTGAATTTACATTGCCGCGTGCCACAATTCCATCTCGTATTAGTGGAACTCTAAGAAGAGAATTTCAATGTCAATATTTTAAATGGCATCAAGTGACTTACCTAATCTCATTGAGGGCATGCAGTGCTGCCATTGGACCTTTCTTATTCCACCAATTGGCGGCCAAGTTTTCATGATGCTTAACTTCGCGAATTGTTTCTGATGTTTGCTGCGTAGACCCAGTACCTGCATTAGCATCTAAGTTGATTTTCCTCGCCAACAGGCTGTGGAAAGAAAACTATTATTTTCACTTTAATTTGTTATTTTACACATACTTACTTGCTACGCTTTATCAAGCTTAGGTTGCGAATCATTTTTACGTATTGAGCTTTAACAACCAGCTGTTTTTGTTTATTTTGGTCCTCAAAATGGAAATACGTTGTTGTTAAATAATCGACTCAGTGACCCGGTCGGTAACCGATAACAACTTATGAGAGATGACGATCAAAACGGCTGAAAAGCTAACATGAATAAAGCTAAAAATGTATTTAATAAATCTCTCGGCAATATTTAGCGCAACTAAACTGGCATTAAAAATAAACTAAGTATTAATTACAACATATGCTTATGCTAGGTTAGACATCTCAAAAACAATACATGAAAAGCTAACTTAGCTGAAGCAGTCAGTGGCTGAAGCCGTAAAGGCTTATTGTCGTGGGAGCTGTTAAGTGTCAATCGATAGATATCGATGCACATACTTAAGTAATCTGGCAATTATCAACGCTTACTGCTAAAGCGATAAGGATATGGTAGATAAATTGGTTAACAAATTTGATTAACACCATTAACTAAAATTGAAAGATGTACAAGCCTCAACCACTGATTAACCATGAGGACGACGTCGAGCAGGTTTCGAACAGGAATTCGCAACGAGGAAACGTGTATGCGGTGCAAATGTTCCTTCTATCAACATTCCTGTTGCTATTTATAGCCGGTTCCGCTTTTCATCCAAAACCTTTTGCACTCAAGTCCAAACTTCCACGTGATGATACGATATATAATTGCAACATAACACTAGTGGAATCCATACCCATTGGTCTAAACTATTCGCCCAACAGTCCGAAGTTCATCAGCACCATTGAGGCGTGGCAAAAACTTTTGGATGCTGGAAAAACTTCATTGGACATTGGCTCTTTTTACTGGACAATGCGTAGCGATGATTTGGGCTTCAATGATAGCAGCGCAAAGCCCGGAGAGGAGATATTTCAGCGTCTGCTGGACAATGGCAACGGTGTGGGTTCAAAGATTAAGATACGTATTGCACAGAGCGCCCCTTCAAACGTTTCTCCGGATGTGGATACGCAAATCCTGGCCACCTATGGAGCTGCCGAGGTAGTTACTCTTGATTTTCCCAAGTACTTTGGCAGTGGCATATTACACACAAAACTCTGGATTGTGGATGGTCAACATTTCTATTTGGGCAGCGCCAACATGGATTGGCGTGCCCTAACCCAGATCAAGGAGATGGGAGTCTTGGGCCAGAATTGTCCACAATTGACCGCCGATTTGGCTAAGATATTCAAAGCATACTGGTATTTGGGTAGCAATCCCGATGCGCGCATACCAAGCTCTTGGCCCTATGGCTACAATACCAACTATAATGCGGAACAACCCATGCTATTGAATGTAAATGGAAGATACATTATGAAGGGCTATGCATCCAGTTCCCCGCCTCCACTCTGTGCATCTGGACGCACCAACGATTTAGATGCCATTCTAAAGACGATTAACACAGCCCTTAAATTTGTGCACATTTCTGTTATGGACTACTTTCCATTGATCATGTTTGAATCGAAGATTAAATATTGGTCAGCGATTGACAATGCATTGCGTACAGCAGCCGTAGAACGTGGAGTAGCTGTTAAGATGCTCATCTCTTGGTGGAAGCATTCCGATAAGCGTATGGACAACTATTTGCGCTCGTTGCAAGATCTCACCATGGCCAATCATGTGGATATACAAATTGTAACTATTAAACCCTATAGACAATAACATTATATTAATTGATTACCACTCTTGCAGCGCCGTTTTATTGTGCCCACTGATAAGCAGCAGGAGCAGATACCCTTTGCCCGCGTTAATCACAATAAGTATATGGTCACCGATCAGGTGGCCTACATAGGTACATCCAATTGGTCGGGCGATTATTTTGAAACCACAGCGGGCGTTGGTTTGGTCCTGAAAGATTCGTTGCCGCAAATGTCGAATTCCATACGCAAGGATTTGGAAAGCGTTTTTGATAGGGACTGGAATAGCACATATGCTCACATATTAATCTAGGCTAACTGCCCAATCGTTGCTCTTTATATCATTCAAGTTTTGTAGTTTGTTAACAGTATTTTGCTTATGGCTCTGCACTAATTTGCTACACAAGTAAATAGTTTCATGATTGTGTGATTGTATAAATAAATATGAAAACTAAGAGTTGTGAATAAACAGAAGTCAAATGATCATAGTCCAATTCCTTTAATACTTGCTATCATTTATACATATATATAGATGTATATATAGATGTATGCTTACATATATATATATGTATGTGTGTATATAATTCAAATACTCTTATAACATTAACATAGTAGTCGCAGATTCCTTGTACAGGCGCATATCACTGCTACCGAGATTATTTCTCATTTCGACTATTTCACATTGTGTCCGCCACGTCGCAAAAAATTGTTGCTAGCAATGCACTTTTCAATGATAACATTTATGTCCGACACGCAGCTGGATAGGCACGCATAGATCAACAGCAAACAGCGGGCATCAATGGCTATAAAGGAGATCAACTCTCAATATTAGAAAACTATTGGATCTATATTAAAATTAGGCTCCCACCTGCATAGAGTATTTGTTCTCTTCGCAACGGTCGATTTGCCCAATTTGAGCATTGATTGGCTTTGTTCAGCTTTTTGCCCAGGCATAGCATAGAAAGATCCGTGAGCGCATCTCCGGCACGATTCACATTTCCAAAAGGCAACTCGACCCCTTGCCTTTTCTTCAGCTCCAGCCACACGTTACGTAGATCGAGATAATGATGCGGCATATGGAGACGTAGCTGAAGAGGCAACGATCGTTGCAGCACCGACAAATCATTCAACATGGAAAAACCCACTTTGAGTATGTTGGGATTGTTGAATACCGTGGCGCCCAGCGCACGCCAGTGTTGCTCTTCCAGTGCTGACCGACTGGCCAAGCAATCAATAAGGTACACATTGCAAGTGGTCGCAATTTGCAGTAGACAAAGCTGGTTTTGAGCACAAACATTTTGCATCCACTCAGAGTCCAGGTAGATGATATGCTCGCGCTGCAAATGCTGCAGCATTCGATTAAAGATTGGATAAGAATCTACTATGATGAGGCACTCGTCTGGCAGATCCATGCCCAGGTACAATTCACAAGGCATCGACTCGGTTGATTGCTCTTCAGCTACTTGACTGTTTTGTAGATCCGATTTTTGTGAGATTAGCGATTTGATTTCATGTGGACAATGTTCATTGAGAATCTTAAATTCATTATACCAATAGATGGCTTCCGATTCGTAGGGACTGTTTACGGATGCAGCTGCTATATAGTTAACAAAATCCAGACGAAGCGCATAATCCGAAGCATGAACCCTAACCAGCTCCCGAAAGCTGGCTAGATTAATCCTCTGCTTCTCATATTCTCGATACAGGTAATGTAGATAGCTGCAGGTCTTAGTGAATTTATAGTTGGGCGTTACGGTGTCGTCGAAGCCATATTTCTTGGCCAAGCGTGACACGATCTTGGAGATAGGACGATAGCTAAGCACGTGATAGGAGACTTTCAGATTTTTATAGCGACTGCGGAAGAGAAAAGTTAAGATATTAATCGATTCTGTAGTAGTTGACAGGGTTATCGATGATTTCAAACGTGATCGACACGTGCCTCCGGAGGACCTGTACGTCAAGTGTCTAGATTTGAGACGAATGGCAATTGATTGTCATTAATTCTATGTAATTTATATAATCTTGTCACGCTTTTTGTTATCTATTTTCATACATAAATCGGGATAGCTTTTGTACATATTTACCTCAAAGTCTGTTCACACATCTCGATGACGGACTTTTCCCTGTGCAGCAGCGAATCGAGAAATTGCACAAAAGGCAAACGCTGGTGCGTTGCCTGATCCAGGTACTCTTCAGCTAACGGTAGTTTTTCTTGTGCTATCAAGGGAAATGCCAGCTCCAGCATATCAAATTGATGAGTAAGCTGTAAATCGAGAGTCCATTGGGCCACCTCCTTATAGTAGCCCTCATCGAGCATCTTTTTCAATTTAGGTACGAGCAGCTCCTTGATTTGGTTAATACGATATGCTTGGATCATGGCATTATTTAGCGAAGCCAAGCCCGTTGTCTTAACAAAATGAAATGCAATCATGCTCGTATTTTTGTCGCACTGCTCACTCAGGTGTGGAAAATCCACCTGTACTTTGCAAGCAGTATCAAGCACAAAATGCGATAGACTTTTGTTCTTAACATTACTGCTGTCCGGGCAATTAGCAAAGATTTTGAGTGCCATTAACAGAGGATTGGGATGGCGCATTAGCGCTTTTATTAACTCTTGTCTCATATATGGCGAAGACTTGCATTTGCTGTGCATATTCCATTTGTCACGAAAAACGGCGAAGAACTGTTGCAAGTTATCGTCCAAGGTGGCGTCAAAGTCGCCATCGATGCCAGCACCTGAGGATGTAGTATAAGCATATAAACACTCCCATGTGCGATGGTAAGAATTCATTTTATCTACCCGTTGTAATATCCTCTAATCGCTTAATCTTCAAATGTGCCAGCATGCATCCAAGTTCCTCTTCATCAGACTCCATGCCAGCTGGTATTATACTGTAGTTATTAGCCATAATTGTGTTTATCACTTGTATTGTTATTCCTTTTTTGTTGTTGTGGGCGCGCAGCCCTTTACTTTATGCACTTGCAAAAATTGATAACCAAATTCCGTTTGCGGTGTAAAAACATATGTTTTTGCATTCAAGTGCTTAACATAAACCGTCCGCTGTTAATAACAGTTCGATGGTACTAAACTGCGTTTCAATTTTGAACAAATTCAAATCTTTATATTCCCTTAACTCAATGTATTTTTAAGCAACGCATATAATAGTAATATTCTTTAGAAATATTTTAAGCACGTGTAGTATTTTTATCTTAGAAATTGACCGGTTGGCCTATTTTGAATTTAACAGGCTTTGAACAATCTGACACTGATAACAGAGACGTTAGTGTTATCGGATTATTGTTAACTATCTACTCGTTGGGTACTGCCGAGTATCGATGCCATCTTAAAAATGTGAAAACTAATGTACTCTTGCGTCGATAATTTAGTACGCTGGATAATCCGTTATTATTTTATATCGATACATGAAGTTATTGCCGCTCATCGATTCGGAAATTCGTAAATTAGCTCTAAACAATGCTTCATTAACTTACCACGCTGGATTAGTATTGTAGGTTTTAAATCGATATTCCCACTAGAATGAGTGAACTAAAATTTACAAGTGTTTCGAATTGTAAATTAAAACTAGACATAAAGCTACACGAGTTTCTTTTGCATTTCATTCTTTATTCACGTGTATATAAAATTGATACCATTTTAATTATTAGGGTATACTTATAGCTAATAGGTGTTACAAAAGCTGAAAATGATTGTTTTTAATTAATGTAGTAGATAATTGGCATAATAACGAATTTAACAAGTTTGAACACATTAAATACAATTAAGTGTACCTATTACGACAGGGCTACGTCACCCATTTGATAGAGTCTAAAAATATATTTTAAATGATTTATAAAAAAGTAATTGCATAAGCCTGATATACTATAAGAAATATCAATGACTGATACAGTTTCAGTTGTAGGAGAGATCTGTAAACTCGCAAACTGGCAATTCAAGATTTATGAGCAACAGGTAGTGGGCTTAAGTGCCAACATGACAGTTGAACCGCAGCTAAAGCTTACCTGAGGCTTTTTTAGAATTAGCATGCGACAAGCTGAAACATAACGCAGAGTTTTATTTTATACTATATATAGGTGCAAGTGTGCCGCTTAATCAAGGTCAACTGGCCCTGCTCCAGTTTAGTTCATACACATAGCTTTCGATTTTAGCCAGGTGCATAATTTATTGTCTGTTGTTAACAAGTTGGATTTGTTTAGCTGTGCGGGCTGTGGTTAACACCCCTGTATCTGTATCTGTTGATCTATAAGTCGAAATGATTAATTGCTTTGGTTTTATTTACATATCGTAATGTACGCCCTATACTATTTAATCCATTCTTTCTAAGAATAAAATAAAGGGCACATGTTAATTTAATTTTTAATTTAAATAGGATTATATAAATCTCTAATAAATGAAAAGTCCATATTAATATTGATTTGAAACAAATATTTTTATTTTGAAACAATTTTCCATTTGACAACAGTGGGTGCTTGATCGGATATCATTTGGTCAACAGATCGTTATAGATATAGGTGTACATAGAGTAAAGACCAGAATCAGTAGAGTAGAGCTGACTATTAAGATAGATAGATGACTTAGATGGCCGAGCGCCCGAATCGAATCAGGTGCACGGGAGTAGGAAAATCTTTCAGGAAAACGAAAATAAACAAAAGAACATTTATAAGGAAACTATAAAACGAGCGATGGCAAGGTCAAAGTCAGGTCTGTTTAGCGAGTGTGTTATCCAAGTGAAGGTCTATTGCGAAACGTTTTTACAAGGTGCCTGGTGCGGGCTCCAGGTTGACGGAGGCGGCGCTCTGCACATGTCCGGGCAGAGGAGCAACATGGACGGCACCACGAGTCTTAGCCACATACGAAGCGGGCGCAGCAGCGACGGCTACCACAGCCGGGGCGGGAGCAGCGACAACAACAGGCGAGGCAGCGGCACCTTGCACCAGAATGGGGCCAGCTGGTGAAAGGGAAAGGGGCACGGCAGCGGGCACAGCGGAGGCATGCACAGCCACTGAGCCAGCCGGAGCGGGAGCACTGAGCAGCAGAGCGGGTCCGGGACCAGCGCTGAGCAAAGGCACAATCGAGCAGTTGACACCCCAGGCCAAAGCGAACAAGACTACGACAACGGCGAACTGAAAGTAAAGTTTGGAGTGAAAATAATGAGTTAATAAATTATAAACAAATTACAATTGTAAATTTTTAGATACTGTGGATAATGCTTCGTCTAGTTGTCTTCTAATGTCCAAAGTACTTTTTCATCCAGTAAGGATCTAATCCTTACATTAGAATTTTTAATCCTAAGAAAAAATCCTTAAAAAATCAAAACTGCAATCCTTTAACATATTCTTAGCCAGTTTTAATCCTTAGATAATTCCTTCTCCAGTCTTTGTTATTTCTTCGGAAAATTCCTTAGTAAAAGTTCTTAGCCCAGCAATCAGTTGGCAATCCTTCGATAAACACTTTGACCCATTCTAGGCTAAATCTTTGGGCTCAGCTACAACTGTCGTCTCACCTTCATGTTTAGCTTTTCTGTGTTTGCTGCAACGCTTGAAACGTAACTAATTGCCAACTGCTCTTGGCTCTTGGCCTTTTATAGCGCACGAATTCTGAGAGACAGATTTTTCGCCCTGACCAATTCCAGTTCTCGGACAATGCAGTAAATGCGGAAACTGGACAGATTAGCGATATGGCAACGATGTATGAACATATTCCCCCCCTCGTGACCTTCGCCTAGGTCACAATTAGCCACAGTAGTTGACAGCGCCAGTTCCATGATAAACGCCACAAACAAGTCCAAGACATGGCGATCAAAGCAGCCTACATTTGGTTCGTTCAATCAATTCAAACACCACACACAATATATCAGCGACATGTGTGGGGCTTGTACTCGTAACGCCTATCAATTGAACCACATGGCGACAATAGTAGCTCCGCAGAATATTTGACTTAAAGCTACCCTCGAAGTTACTAATGTTTCAGTCGATCAAAGTTGATGGAGTCAAAATAAAACTATTTTCAATAAATTTGATGTCGAATCAATGTTTTAGTAATCAATAATATTTATAAATATTTATAGTTTTTATGAGAAGAGAACTGAATATAAACATGTATAACGTCAATCGATATTTATCGATATTAATCAAATGTTGACAGAAATAAATATCTGCTGGTTAATGAAGCCTTCATCTCTCACTAAAATTATTTCAGACACACCCGATATACCCCATTCTAGGTAACCCATTTCAATGGGTATAGGCTATTACAATAATAGCCAGTATTCAAAACAATTGTTAGTGCTCGGGTCTTGGTATTTTATGCTGAATGTAGTTTATATTTCATCAGCATTTTTAAAAGTGTTTGCTCTGAAATTAAATTGGCCGACTCTGGCATTTATCATATAGTCATATAAATACCTAAGGCCGATAATTAATATAATATTAAAATCGCCAATAAAGACTGAGGAAAAGCTTTTAAAAGACACTTAGACTAAAGCTAAGCTAATGGAATGCTTATGTAATCCATAGGAGAGATTTGCATAATACTTCTACGGTAGTTTTTGCGAGCCATATATTTCTATTGAGCTATGGATACGTTAGCTCATGTATTTATGAATATACAAGAAAACTGTAAAATTAAAAACTACAGAAAAGTTTATTTAAATAACCAAATATATATTTGTTTATGTATATATAGTTCTGTATCTCTCTATCTCAATCTCTCTTTTTCCCTCTTTGTCTCTACCAACTCTGTTCCCTCTTCAAATATCCATTACATATGTTTTTTTCTCCTCCATGTCTCTCTATCTACTTATTTATTACTCCTCATATCAAAAGCTATCTCGTACTCCTCGACATATCTATCAAATATTCAACCAAAAGCACTAACCTAAACGGCGTTACCCTTAAAAAATCTGTCATAATTGAAATCTTAAGTTAAACGTTTGGAGTAAGAAATACACAATTATATAGCTCTCCATATATATAAATATATATAAATAGGTACACACTGCTCTTTGTAGCTAGTAACCGTGTATATATGTTTCTGCAAATAGACTTAGGGAGAGGACATGGCTCGTCTGGTCTTTACCGAAAAGGAACAAAATTCCTATGATCCCAAAAAGTATAAGGTGGGTCGGCAAAATGTTAAACATTTTTGAGAAGGGGTTTACTAATCGATCTATTATCTATTATTACATCAGGTAGTTCACAAGAATCATTGGCGGCAGGTGAGTCTGCGATTGGAGCCCACGCAGAAAAAATGGTGGGAGGATCCAGACGTTATTGTTGCGTGAGTATTGCACATATAATTAGAATATTTCGATTGTGGGGTGACTATCATGTGGCATAAGAGCTTACCTAGTTTATCATGTGCTTAGAATCATCTACAGTTTGTACGCGATTAATGTTAGGTTAACACGAACTGTGATTCGATTAAAGTTCCGAACCAAAGTACTCTCCCTGGGTGTATATATGTATATATTTATATATGATGTTGATACTGATAGATACACAGGATAAGCAAAGGATCATATGTATATATTTTCATAAATATTTGAAATATTTATGTACTGTTAAGCAAACTATAGTTAATAGGTTAAGCCAAGCCGAAACCTTTTAACTAAAACGCTCTTGATCTATCAAAGCCTAATCGTCTGTATTTTAATTACATTCATACATCATAATACCTAGTCGACGGCCTTGAATTATTTATTCAATGTGCAAATGAAAGTTGGGAACGTGTCTTTAATCGACTGCAAGAAATGCGCCCAGACAATTGCATCACATGCCTGATAAGACTTTCAGCTCACGTGAAAGACGCTAACTTTTTCACAATATAAGTCTATATATTATATATGAAATGAATGTGCCACTTGGAGTCACGCGATGCTAACGAAGCGCCTTGATTGACGGGCTGTCAGCAAAAGTTTGCCAAGTAATTGGTAAAAACGTCTGGCGCTCTGTTTATAGGTCGATTACCACTTGGTGTGCTCCATGTGGACAGCCTCAAGTGCTATTGCGGTGCTCTCAAGGTTGTGCTTAGACTGGCGATAGCATTTAATACATTAAGTTTTGGAGCCTATTAGAAATATCTTTGAGAATTTTGTTTAAATGCGAATATATGGAGTTAGCTAAAGATTATCCAAACTTTTATAATGAAATGGTCTAGCAACATATTTTGGGAAGTAGTTTCTTTTTTTTAACCTTGAGTAGCACTCATGTCCTAATTCCATTTGCAAATTCCTCCAACTATTCCTAAACTCTCTCAATGGTCCCGAATACATCAACTCAATTTTTCGGTATCAAAAATATAATAAAAGGATTTTCAATGTTATTAGCACGCCTCACTTATGTAGGTGTTGCTAGGTGTACAGCCCACTATTAGAGCATTCGCTGCGTAGAATTCTTGTTTTTGTTTTTGGCTAATAGCTTTCGGCTGTTAGGGTCGGGGTCTTTCAATTGTAGGCTAAACACTTTGCGTGTTCAATAAAAAAAAAAGGCAAAGAAAAGGGAAATGAAGCGGAAATGGTGTCAGTACCCAGTACGGGAATGAAAGGAAAGTACTTAAGCGGCGCGTCACTCAATCAGAATGATATTATTTTTAATGGCACCGAATTGAACCGAAAGAGGCGTGGCTCAGCCGACGCCAGCGAGGCTCGGAGCTGCATATGGCAAACAATAAACACGATACGCGCCACGCAACTGCTGCTGCTGCTGCTGCTGTTGCTCATCCTAAATTGTGGGGGCCATCAGCTCCAGTTTAGGCGGCTCGGGCTACAGGTCTCAAATGAAGTTCGGCCGTCAGCGGCGTCGCACGCGAGAGCCGCCTCCTGACCCCGTCAACGGTCGGAAAAGTTTACCCTGTGTGTTATTTTTTTTTTTAAAGAAACTTAATTACATTTCAATTTGCGTTTGTTGAGTATAAAAGTATAACAGCGAGGGTATACTCGGGTATACACAGGTGTTTCCAAATATCCCTACGGATAGCAGGACGAGCGCGCGTATAGAGGAGCGGAATAGAAGCGGCGAATTGGAGGATGTCAACGTATCCCTCGATATATAGCTGAATGGATGGATAAATTGATATTTGAATTCAGTCAACTGTTATACGTATAACAGCCGCTCAATTCGACTTCTGAGTCGACATCAGTTCATACTGCCCCATCTATAGTCCGTAGCAGTATAGAGCTGCACGGTTATCCTTGCTAATAGACGTATGCATATCTCACCAATCTACCCTCTTTCCTTCAAAGAAAGGGTATGGCTTAGTTACTGTTTGCTATCCACAAGCCGTAAGAAATCTATTATCCCCGTATACCCTTTATCCTTCAGGGGAAAGGGTATCGCCGTTGACGTGTGATACGTGTGTGACCCCGTAACTCCGGCGTAAACAAAGTGCTATCCACATGCCACTCACAGCTGGCACTGTTGCGCGCTCCAATTCGAACGAATGGCTGCTGCCCGTCTCGACAAGGGGCGCCAACAAATGTGCAACGGTGACGATGCTGCTCGCCCAGCGGATAGCACGCAACGATTGTTGGTCAGTCGACGCCGAGCCGCGCTACGGTTCGAACAAGATGAACGTTTGGCAGACGCTCGAATATCTATCCGGCCTCAGTCTACGCAAGCGCTACAACTACGAGGGCTATGCGGACACACAGCATCTGATACGCACTCTGACTCCATCGTGGAGAAGGGACAGCTATGCGGAGAAAACGAAGGCGGAGGAGGCCAGTGCAACGGGCGCTGGGCCTGGCAAAGCCAAGTATCCGGCTGAGCGTGTCATCGAAAGCGTGGCCGACGTGGTAGCCACGACCATGGCCCGAGGTATGCCCAGCTATCAGCAATCCACGGATAATCTGGCCCCAACTCAACAAGGCGTCGCGGCAGTGCCCAGACGGAGGCATCGCAGTCGCCGCAAGCCGACGAAATCAGCCGTCGTTGCTGCGGAATATGCGCTCACACAGGATGATCTGCAGGATCTGGTCAAGTGCACGTAAGACTAAACAATGTGTGGCTAAATTGGGAATTGGATATATAATATATACATATACAGAGTGTACAGAAATTCGGTAAATCATATTATTAATTTAGACAGCAAACTGGATAAATTACAAATATCCTTTTTCATTTCAAGGATAATTTAAAATTACCAAAAACTGAATCAGTTTCTGAAATGGAATTATGCTACTTATTTTTCGTAGAAGTATTTCCATATAGTATTTTATTCTCTCTGGGGTCTTAGCTACGAGCTCTACAACAAAAATTTCATTTATGAATTTTTACCAATTTATATTAAAAGCATTATCATATTAAGTTATATACACAGGTTTTCAGAGTAAAATATCTATTCGACTTTCAGTTAAATCTTAAATAATAATTATTTATAGCTTTTTATATTAATAATAATTAATTTTTATATCAATAATTATTTTACATATTAGCAAAAATTGCCTAAATAACTTTCAGTGTAGACAAATGAAAAGCTTATCCCAAAGCTTAGCAGCTGCACAAACCCAGAGCTTTTGCCAAACTAAACAAGAAATTTACAAAGAGAAAATGCAAATGAAATTGAGCTATTGAGATATTGGTCAAACTTAAACAACTATAAATTGCTTTAGAAATGCAATTTCTATTGAATTTCTATTTATTTTCTACCATTTATAAATCAAGTATGGCATCAGCCCGTCCCTGAGTCTGCATGGACCGGCGCTCGGTCAGCTTAAAAATGTCCTCAACTCGGTTGCATTTTGCTTTGAGCTTCTTTGCCGTCAAGGTGTTGGCTCTGAGCTGCTCGATGCAAAACAAAAATAAATTGGAAAAAAAAGTTAAGCCTTGACCAAGCATTTCATATTATTGTCACAAAGACATGGCTCAGGTCTCAGCAATCAATGTGAAACTGAATAAAGTGTTAAACTAGAAGGTGAAGAATATGTATAGAAAGCCATCTGCCAGTGTTGAATAACAAAATAAAGCAAGAGTTGGCAAGAGTTGTGAAACTGTGTAGAGAGATATTACGGAAATACAATCAAACAATCAAATTTGGTCATTTCTTTAAATCTTAAAATATTTTAGTTCTCTATAGAGTAACACTAGACTTATTAGAATCGGAATACTTAAAAGTTCCATAACTCAACTAGAAAGAATTCGATTCAATTCCAAAGAAGAGTAAGAGTTATAAGAATAACATTGTATGGCTTATATACAATATATTCTATATACTGAGCTCAATATACCCGCTCTTAACTTTTAGCAACGCGCGCACGAAATTGAGAATTTGAATGATTTATTGGGCTGAAGGTGTCAGCGGACACATTTTTGTGCCCATTGGGAAAGACAACCTTGCGGTTGCCGTTTGTGGGTGGGATTTGAGGCTGTAACTCTAGCTGCCAGCAAAATGATTCTTAAAGCACGCGAAGTATATACAAATATATCCATACCGGCTGCATGGCCAACAAGTTTGCATGGCGAGCTGTTGGGACAGCCAAAGTGTTTGCTCAATTCCTGCGCTCAAAGTCGATTAGACGGAATTATTGTATGATGGTCTGGCATGAAACCTGGCCATAAAGCCAAATAGTTATCTGGTTTCACTGACTCAGTTAACCCAGTCGCAGTGAAGGCAGTGAGCCACCTCTTGGGCTAGCCCCACGATGATAGCCATAAAAATCTGGCATCAAGCAATGAAAATGGAAACTCAAGCCCCTGAAAATAGTTGCTGGCAATATTTATTTGCTAGACGATTACTGATATAGAGTTGTCACCTGCGAGAAACCTTTCGAGCAGTGCAAAATGCGTGCACTGAAAAAAAAAACCTATGAGCTCTTTTCAGAAATTAAGTGAAGTGAAAACTATTTATGATGGGATTGATTAGCTTAATAGGGAATAGTATTACAAGTTAATTAAAAATTACTTATATGTACATATATGTTTAATTTTAATTTTAATTTAAAATTCTGATGGAAAGTGAGGATAGTCTGATAAATTGATTTTAATTTAATGAAATTTAAAATTATTATTATTTTTATTTTATTTATTTTTAGCTATGAATGAGAGTGGTATTCATACGTATGAGAGTAGTCTCTAAAATTTATTATTATTTAATGAATTTAAATTAATGAAGTCTTTATATTTGTATTTTCCACATAATAGATAAAATATTATTATTATCTGAAATTTTTAATCTATATATATTTTTGTTAAAATTTATAAGTATGTAATATGTTAAACTTTTTCAGTTGCGCTTTACGCGCTTTATAGTTTCATGGGTACCATTTATGTAAAATGCAAAGA